GCCTCTTGCGATGATTTCTCCTTCCATCGAAAAGCGAAAGAGCAAGGGCTTACTGGATACACTGCTGGTGTTGGTTTCGGTTTGCTATGGGTGCAGCAACGGGTAATTTCAACAGGGGAAATGGTAACAAGGACTTATTATTATATCGCTCCCCTGTCCGTCAATAATGTAGTTTGTTTGCCTGTTAAAACTTCTGTATGACATAACCGAATAATGGCTATCATCATCAACGGTTACGCTGCTGTTTACTGAATATCGATGCATGGTTTGAAGCAATGCCAACTCCTTGTTTCTAGTTTTCTAATCTTCAAACGTTAGCTACTAGCTAGTCCGTCGGTAATTCATACGATGACAAAGAGAATTCAAATGAAAAGAACTAATTATCAAAGAGTTTTAATTTAGCCTTAAGTTAATTAACAAAACGAAAGTGAATTATCGATCAAGGCTACATGAAAACAACAAAGTCAATGTCAATAGATACAGGGAACAAATGCTATATCCGAAGGAAGATCAAGCGATCACAGCACAAGAACAAGCAGGCATGCAGGTTCAATTGTATTAGTCCATGTACCATCGGAGAATTAAGATGTACCAGAAACAATCATCTGTCCATCTCTTGTACCGTGTTTGAGTTCGTGGTGTCAGCAAAGGAAGAGGGGTGGACGAGGTGCGATGTGTGCCATGTCGGACCCGTCGTTCTAATCAAATCAATCATCAAGTTGTCATTGCGGGTTCGGTTTAGGAAGCCCCTCCCACGTCAGGATCGTCATCAAGCATTACTTAGTGTCGAGTTCGGTTCGTTCATTGCCATATCTTTAACTATCCCAGCCGACCCACTTGCGAGGCATCACTCGCCAGACCTTGCACTCGCCGCTGCGCATGTCATTGAGCTTGAAACTCTCCATTTTGACCTTTTTACTCTCCCGGCCCTGCTCCCAGGCACGGATTTTCTTCTTTGTTCCATCCCAGTCCACCACAACACCGACGTGGTCGGGTTTGCCAACCTCCACGCTGTACTTCTGGTGCATTGTTCCACGGTGTCCTTGGAAACGAGCATTGCGGAAACTTACGATATCACCAGGGCGAATTTCATCGTTTTGCTGCACGGATGCATTGGCCATGTTAGAGTAAACCAAAGCACCATATGCTCGATTGCCGACAGGACGAAGAGCATCCGACAAGTCCTCAAATAGGTGCTCAATTAAGCCGAATGGCGTACCATCAGCGACGGTTGTGTTTTGGATAGCATTGACGCCCTGGGTGACAAGCGTGCCGATCTGGACGTGCGCAGCCTCAAGCTGATCCTGGCGAGGAGGCAGAGGGGGCTGTTCGTGGCGTTGCTCCAGCGTCGCATCGGCGGGATTTCGAGCATCATAGTTCACAGAAATTACGGTTTGGGAATAGTCGCGGAACAGAGCATAAACATCTTTGGTCACTGTGGTCTTGCCGCCTCGTTTTGAGGAACTTGACTCTTCAAACTCGAGGAGAATATCTTGGCGATTTTGGAGGGCGGGAGGAGGCGTGTTTGGCTGAGCCCACCACGTTGTGCCCTCGGCCAAGTCAACTTCCATGGCGATAAAGCCCTGGTCAATGGACGGACGGTTTACATCCATAGAGCGTCGTACAGAGGGTTGAGCCCTCGGCACGTCCAAAGATGCGCGGTTGGATCGTGGTGTTTGGGGAGCGATCGCCGCAGGGGGCTGACTCGGAGGCGGGGGAGGGGCTGAAATCTCTGGAGCTGTCTGTACCGGGGATGCATCGTACAAACTGTCCGATTCATCTTCTTTAACAGGTGGCGGTGGGGGTGGAGGAAGAATGTTTGGTCGACCCGTTGGCACTGGGGCTGACTTGGGGGCAGGCAATCCATGTGTCGGCGCAGTGTAACGGTAAGGATCATACTCATCATCATCACCGTGAGATGGCTCCTTCTGGGGAGGAGGTGGTGGAGGAGCCCTAGGTGCATCTATGGAAGCTCTACCAGAACCAGAGCTCTTCGGAGGTTGAGATGGAGGGGGCGGAGGAACTCCTCTAGGAACAGATGGGGGGAGTGGTGGCACACGGGTCTCTGTCGGGCTGCGCGGTGATTGAAGGGATTGATCGTCGGTTGCAGTGCCTTCATCAAGGCTAGAATCCCGACCATGGGCCTTCAAAGCATCCTTAAATTTTGCACCGGACGCGATATCGGTATCATAATCACCATCATATTCTGTTACCTCGCCTTCGACATCCTCTCCAGCTTGCCGAGGCTGAGAGATACCACTGGTTCGACTATCGGCGGTTGACCTACGTCTAACGGCTCCAGGAGGAGGTGGTGGAGGAGGTCGAGTTTGAGTAGGAACTGGAGGGTTAGTTGGGACGGGTGGATGCCCTCTACTGAGTCTCTTCTCGGATGAGAGTGTCGGTGACTTTGGAGAGGTGGCATCATAGGTTGATGAACGACGAGAATCAAGATGGTCCGGCAATGGAGGCGCCGGCTCCGAGGGTTGACCTGCGGCTACAGCGTTCAAAGACAAATTCTGTGCATGCACGGATAGCTCATCATCAGAGTCCTCGCCGCCAGATGTAGGGCTTCTCGCGGGAGGAGGGGGAGCAGGTCGACCTAGTTTAGGGTTTAGTGGGAGAGATTAAAAGCTTTGATGTTAAATTACTCACCTCCTGGTACTGGAGGGGGGGATAGAGGTAGATCGTGAGAGCTGGGAATCGGAACAGGGCGTGTTTCCATCGGTGGAAGCGGAGGAGGCACTGCGCGCTCTAAATCGCAAGGTAATTAGTAAAAGAAGAAAAAAGGAAGGGGCAGTGCAGGAGTTGCATACCGCGAGGAGAAGATAATGGCTTTTCAACTGAGCTACGAGGAGCTTCTTCTTCTTCTTCCTCTTCTTCCTCATCCTCACCAACTCTAGACGTTCCGGGTTGAGCAGGTTGTCCAACCGAAGCAATTGATGGTGACTCCTCGTCCTTCTCGGCTGTGGGAGAACCTAATGGTGACCTAGCATTCATTCCGGGCAGAGCCATAACAGGAACCGGGGGTGCACTTGGGGTTGGGGCTGTTTCAGTATTGCCAGTGTCCTTTTCTGTCTCCGCAGGCACAGGCGCTCTAGGCTTTCGAGATGCAGGTCCAGGGGCGGGCATTCCGCCTCCAAAGAAGCCCATCATACCCATACCACCACTCATCTTTGCCATTCTTTCTCGAAGTTCCATCTTGCGCTTAACCTCCGGGTCCATATCTTCCTCGTTCTCTTCTTGCTCTTCGTCTGATTCAAGCCTTTCATCCTCTTTTCCATCCTCTTTGGCTTCAGGTTGCTCCGCCTGTTTTTGGACCGGAGGCGGAACTGCGGCGCGGGAACGATCATCTATATCTTCTCTTCCCGTAGATGTCTCATCGGCATCTTCAGTGTCTGCAGCAGCTGAATCATCTGCATCATTTGTATCGCTCGTCAAGTCCTGGAGAGCAGATTGTTGCACTGCAGGCTGCGCGGTGGGAGCGCTGACGCCCTTTACTGTTTCCACACTATGGTCCCTACCAGTTTCAGGGGATTCAAGGTCTTCAGATGCCGGTTCAGCAGCTTGGACAACCTCTTCCTGGGTTTCTTGACGTGGCTTCTGAGGTCGCTTGGGCTTTTCTTTCTTCTGGGCAGCTTCGGCGTGGCGGGCAGCTTGCTCCATCTGTTGCTTTTGCAAAAGTGCAATTCTTTCCTTCAAGCTTGTTGGCTTAGGTTGTTCTTCCGTTACCTCCTCAGTATCTTCAGTCGGCGCAGGCTGGCTCTCGGAAACGGGTGGTTCAGGCACTGGCCGGTCTCGGATCTCAGGGTCCTCCTCCCGCTTGTATACCGTTGCAGGGGGCTCTCGGGGCGGCGGTGGAACATAGGCATTCTTACTGGGAGGTGGCGCAACGAATGGCTTCTTGATAAACGATTGGGAGGAGTAACCTGGCGGCTTAAACGGCGCAATTGGCGGCGCCGCCGGTTTATTGAAAGCGGCAATGCGATCCCTGAATGAGGATCCAGAGGGCTTCTCTGCCACAGCAGGAGGCGGCGGCTTGGATGCAAGCTTGGGGGCAGGAGGATTGGGCTCTTCTGGAGGACTCTGAGCAGCAGGTGCCGGCGCAGGTGCTGCCTTAGGAGCGGGCTCGACCGGTGACTCTTCCGCAGCGGCAGGAGGGGATTGAGGAGGGGGTACAGGCTTAGTCTCTAGTGGAGCTAGCGGAGGTGCTGCCTCTTCTTCGACCTCGGGAGCGCGAGCCTCTGCCACCGGCGATTCAATTGTAGCTGGCTCGGGAGGTGGCGGTGCAACAGCCTCGGGCTCTTTCTTCGGCCTGCTGGGGCGGGTCGGTCGTGGGGGAGCAGGGGGCTCATATTTCTCGACGAAATTCTTGGGGAAAATACCCTCTACCTTACTCCCCGACTCATCGGGGTATTCACCAAAATACCATTCGTCATCCTCCACAGCAGTTACTGTTATGATCTGGCCGATGGCAAATTTAAGGTCATCCTCATGGTCCGAAGTATACTCGAAAACCGCCTTGACCGTAAATGGCGGGCTAGACATTGGGGAAGCCGACCCTCACTCGGAGGAAATTGGTTCAGAGGAGGTGCGGACCGCGCTGGAGCCAAGTGGAGGGGTGGCTTTTAAATAACGCAACTGGAAAGTCGGAGCGACATGAGCATTAGCTGGTTGCGAACTTCAAAATATGTACAATAAACAGGGACATATGCAGGGGAGGGGTGGTTGCTGGACGATCAAAGAAATGGGAGTAGTATGTCAGACGAGGGTTGACGTATGTCGGGTATGGCTGCGTCGTGGGGTTGGTGTGTGGATGTGAGAGGTGGGAATGCCAGAGAGAGAGCACGGATTAAGATCAGGAAAGCACGGGTCGACTTACAGAAATTCCGGGGCAATCCAGAGACACCTCAGGTTCGGTTTCAAGGCAAGGCGCCCGGGGGACAGGAAATAGTGATGAGAGCAACAGAATAATCCAGAGGAGTGGCAGGAGGTTGGAGTGAGCGAGGCGGCGGGAGGAGTAAAGACCGCCTGCTGCTGCTCTGCTGCTCCACCAACGGCACGATCGGCGGCTAATAATGACGAAGTGTGAACAGGCAGAAATGAAGGAGACGAACACACTGCCACGGTTGCGAGAGTGCGAGAGCGTGGTTTAACGACGCAGTCGATTTGCTGGAGAGCTGGCTGTTTCGTCTCGGTGGCTGAAACTTGGGCCCTCGTCATGGATTGAGTTCGAGCTCTACAACTTGAATCCGGGGTTTCGCCTTCTGCCGGCCCGACCATCTTTTCTTCAGGCCTTGTTTGTTCATCCACCGCCAGATCCCACTCAACACACCAGGACAAATTCAACCCACCAACAACGCCAAATAATGTCGTCCGACCGCCCCGAGTTAAAGACTTCGCTCCCCTCGATTCATGCCGCATCGGCCCGACAATCAAATAATACAAGCCCGCCAAAGTCGAGAGCCAGCAATGCCCGTCGCTCGCCACTAAAGCCCAAGCAGAAGCCCTCCAAACCAGAGACGGACCCCCGCCATCTGGCAATAGCTCTACACCATGCTCATCGCATTCAGGCGCAGAAAAATGCCCAGGACCTCATCCTAGATCGCATCCTCGAGCTCCTCACTCTCCCGTCTTCTCAATCTGCAGATCCTGCCGCCCCTTCCGCTGAAGATACTGAGAAATTTAAGACCGCTTTAATACCCTTTCAGCCCGCTGACTACGATAATTTGATACAAGAACGGAACATCGAAGGTCTCTGCGGGTATGGACTCTGTCCTCATGAGCATCGCAAGGAGAACTCGAGGGGTACGTATCGAATAACCTGGGGCGCTAGAGGAAGCGGTCCAGGCGGTCGCGGACGGGATATGAACATTGTCCCGCGAGAGAAGTTTGAGATGTGGTGTTCTGATGAGTGTGCCGAGCGAGCAATGTACATTCGAGTACAGCTGGCCGCAGAGCCGGTGTGGGAGAGGCGGGGAGACGACCTACGAGGAAAGCAACTCCTCTTACTTGAGGAAGGCAGGACAACAAAGGGCAAAAGTGCAGTGAGAGACTCAACGAGCGTTAAGGAAGTCCTTGGTCAGTTGGACAATCTTCACATGGACACTACACCAGAGCCGAGCGCTGTGGCAGATGAAATTTCAAGACTGTCGGTCAAGGACGATTCTCGCTCGCGAGAACTCGCTATGGAGCGCGGCGATCAAAACCCAGCCCTTCGTGCCGGTAGGGTCGATGTTCAGATTCAAGAGAACACCAATCCCAACAGGCCCATCACTTCGCCAGAGATGCGACCCGGAGACGAGAAAGGGGGCTCCATTGAAGGATATTTGCCGCATGAAGCGTAATGTTACATATATATATAGGCGGCCGATGGCTACAGCAGGCCAGGCTTTCTGCGCCATTCTTCTTTTACGTTGCTTTGAGGCGTTCTACAGGCGGATACCCAAATGTTATTTAGGCACAGCATACATACCTTCTAATGACCTTTAGACTGTCATCCCCAAAGCAAATGGGGAGTGCTCCAGTAGGGAATGTAGCAGGAAAATGGACGCTAAACAAGCAGTCCATCATTTCCAACCCCCAATACCTACGCATCTTCCGCAGAAGACTCGAACCACGAGGGAGAAAATTTGGCAATCAAGCGTCATCCCGAGGGAATCGGCGACACCTTTCTCAGCAGCAACCATGTTTCATTTCTCATATGCTGTTCCTAAAAAAGTAACCGGATTCCGGTGCGCCAGCCAGGGTGATAATAAAAACACGATCGGACAGACCATGGATCAGCCGCATAAGATCATTAAACTTTTTTCGAATATCCTCTAAGAGCGGAAGCGGCGAGGACGCTCGGGCTGCTGCTGGGTAACAGCGACAACGTTGACCTTGAGGTTGTCGAACTATCCACACGTTAGCAACTTAGCTATATACAAACTAAATTTGCAAGGGAGACTTACGCCCAGGCTCTTAAGGAGGTCCTTGGTGTCGTTGTCGACATCGAGCTGGCCAGACTCGGTCTGGGAGACGTCGAGAGCGGAGATCTCAGGAACGTACTGATCCTTACGCTCACGCTCCTCCTCCTGAAGCTTGAAGGAGATACCGCGGACAGGGCCACGCTGGATACGCTTCATGAGGTGGGTGGTGTAACCAGCGATCTATAATCCTGAGTTAGCAACTTTCCTCTAGAAGTTCTTGGTTCGCCGCCGCCAGTTGACGGCTGGAGTTTACTAACCTTGTTGCGAAGACGCTTGGAGGGGATGATAGCGATCTCATCGCAGACACGCTTGTTGGTCTCGAAGTCGAGGGTCAACTTGGGGTAGTATCGCTCGATGACGACCTTGGCAGATCTCTTAACGGTCTATTTTTGCGAGAAAAAAATTCGCCGATTAGAAAATGTTCCTCTGCTTATTCGTTTGAAGTCATTCAGCAACTCACCTTAGTCCTGACGCGACCCATTTTGGCGGTTGTTGGCTGGCTGGTTGATTGACGGTTTGCAAGCTGGATTTTGAGATTGTGTTGCGGCTTGTCGGGTATGGTCTGGTGGTGCTGGCCCTTGCCCTAACTTACCGCCCACGTGATTATCTTAGCTTAAATCTTCTTAGTCATTGGCGCTTTACCGTTTTAGGTGCATTGTCATTTTCCGTCCTACCAAGGTTCTATAGACATTGGATTGGGCAGTTATGGCTACGTTATGTTTTATTCGCTTGGATGAAGTATAGTAGTATATTGTATATCACATGTGTACAAATAACAGAAATGTATAGGCTTTACAATGGAGAACCTCAGCTAATCGTACAGGAACTAGGGGGTAAGACTAAAAGGACGATAAAATACAGGAACATTCAGGATGAAAACTCATTACTGAGAAGTGAGAGTCTTCATGAGGTTCCTTGCGACATCCTCCCTGCTAGTTTCCGGTTGTTCCGTTTCGGCACGCCGCACTGGAGATGTGCGAGCTTGGTCTAATCTCGGGACTACCCGTTGGTTTCTGGACGCACGGTTAAACCTGGGCGCTGCAGAGTGTTTCTTGTAATCTTCGAGATCGTGTGCCAGTTTGGCAGATGCGCTAGCGCGGTAGGACGACAGGGCAATCTGTCCGTCCGCCTTGATAGAGGCCCGGATAGGTTGAACGTAATATTTGGCACCACCAGGGATGGTTGCATCAAAGGACGCCAGACCTGGAGGTGCACCTTGTTCCGCGAAAGTCATAGCGCTCAGATCCTCGAATGCAATACCACCGACACCGGCAATCGCCCTGCCAGCCTTACCCCTGACTCTACCGCGGGGTCGGAGGACACGTGCCTCCACTGGACGCTGATGGGCCTGAGGACCATACTTTGGGTGATTGTAGATTGACGCATGCGATCGGGCATACGACAAACCTGCCGAGGGATGTGTCATGGGGGGTCCGTAGGTCGCGTACTCCGCAGCAGGCATCTTAGTTGGGGGAGAGGCGAAATACTTGGAGCCGATGCGGTCATTTGGGACCGCAGGGGCAGAAGGAAGATCCAATAACTCAAAGATCACAGGCCCCAGCGAATACGGGTCCGATCGCAGTGTCTTCACATAGTTGTCGAACTCTTCCTTGGTGACCGGTGGCAGATTCTCCAAATCTTCACCCTTGTCTTGAGCCTGGTTTCTCAGCTCGGCCTTACGCTTAGTGTAGAACCATCTTCGAAGCTTCCGCATAAGTCTGGGCTTTTCCGCCGTAATCTTGTCCAAATAAGCGCCGAACTCTGCTTCCGTCAGGCCCCCAAGCCAGGGTCCGGTGTGTCTGAATTGCTTTGTGTCGGGAGTTGTAGCAGGGGTAGCTTCCGTGTTGTCGACGTTTGCCTCAAAAGGGCTATGGTGCCGCGGCACAATGCTTGTCGAATAGCCAGATCTCGTAGGCAGAGAAATCGGCAAATTGAGTTCCTGGAACTTCTCCAGGGTCATCGTGTGATCCGCTGCCGAATCAAAGTCGGTAACATGCTCAAAGGTATCCAGCGCATTGATCCGAACAACAGGCCGTGAAGACTTCTGTGATGTCGACTTAGCAGGAAGCGGTCTTTTGAGACCCCAATCCCCTCTTGATAATGACGAAGCCGGGGTGACGATGGACGCTCGGACAGGGTATGGGAGGGTTGCGGTGTCGGATTCGTTGCGGCTTCGAGCAGCGGCAGTTTCTAATGAAGTAATAGCTTGCGGGAGTGAAAATAGGCGAGACTTCCGCAACAAATTTGCGGTCGGTGATATTGAGGCCGCCATGTTGTTCGCGGATACCTGCTTCGCTTGTCTGCAAGACGCGGAAGAAAAGTTGGTCTCGAGTTCGACTGGAATTCTACGGCTACGCACTGAGACACAAAGCGCAGTCCGCCCTACCATCCCGCTTCCGCAGTAGCCTTTTTGGTAGTTCACACTCCTACAAACACTGAGAAGAATCGATAATTGACCGCTTTGTTGGTCCTAATATTGTTTATCTAACCATCTATTCTCTAGGCTCCATTATCCAGCAGCGACTTAGCCGTATCAACAACTGCCTCCTTCAAGGAACGATACTCGAGCCCCAAAACCTGTCTTGATTTCGAATTATCGTAGCCGTATACGTCCGAGGGCAGGTCACTTGTGGCCTCCGGAAGTCTATCCTTGATCTCAGGATAAGCATCACGGATAATATCAACAACGTCCTTGTTCGTGTAGTGGCCAGCAGTGACGAAGAATCGCTGCGCACCAGCTTCCGGGACCTCAATGGCGCGGACATGAGCCAGCGCAACATCACGGACATCAACCCAGAGGAATGTCCCCGTGGGAGGTGAAGTCTCTTTGTCGAGCCCGCGCACGAGACTACTGATCCTTGCGTTGGAGGTGTTGATTGAGTCGAGGGAACTCAGATAGTGCACGACGGGACCCAGCACCAGGGGCGGGTTGATTGTCGCAATGTTGAAGTTGGGCTTCTCCTTCTCAACAAAATCCCAGGCAGCTTTTTCTGCAAAGGTCTGATTGTGCAAATTCGTTAGTCGGGGCTATTTCGGACGGGAAGTAAATATAACACTGGAACTATCTATCTTACCTTGCTCGCGCGATATGTGTTCGCCGAGTCCAGCCCCTCTTCCCAGGTCACAGGGTTCCAGTTCTTCTCATTGTAGACTTTCTCATGCTTCTTGGGGTTGACGATCGCTGCGAAGGAAGAGGTGACCACGACCCTTTTCACCGTTGGCGCGTTGGCCTTGATGGCTTTCAGGATACCAGTTGTTCCCTTGATAGCCGGGTCCAGGAAATCCTTCACAGGGTCTTGAACATTGAAGTGGAAGGGCGATGCCGTGTGGAGGACATAGTCGAATGGCGGGTTCGATTTGACAGCCTACGTTGTGATCATTAGCCTCCCATGAGACAAGATACCATACCTAAATGGCCTAATTGAACCGTAGAAAGGCAATTCAGAGTAGGAACGAAGGTCAAAACCCACCTCGTCAAATGCGCCATCCTGCGCAATGTCCTTAACAATAACGTAGGAGAGCTTCTCCTTGGGTGTATTCGGGTGCGCAGCTAGGATCTTGTCTCCTTTCTCTTCGGACCGGACGGTGGTGACCACATCGAAGCTATGAAAGGAACACACCAATCAGTCCCGTCTTCTCATGGAGCCTAATTTCTGGTTCAAAATCTAGAACTCACCCGCGCTCCAGCAATTGATCAAGAACATGGGCAGCAATGAAGCCGCTACCTCCTAGACGCAGGAAAGGAGTCTGATTAACCTCGGTGCTTACAATGGGGGCGGAGGTCACGATTTACATACCAGTCAGCAATACCTTAGGCATGGTTTCTTTTGTTCTCTTTTTCACAGATAATTAAAGGTTTAATTTCGAAGCTTGTCGTGATCTCAGGATAATTGTCAGGACAGGTCGTATGCTGACACTCCGTCGACAATGGCCTCGGGAGTTACTTATATGTGTCTCCAATTGGGCCGATGGCATCATCCTCGTACGGTCGTACCCCTCCCCCTCATCCACACATTCAATCCCCCACCAAGGTCCACCATTGCGATTACCAATCCATTGTGATAGGACACAGGGGCAAAATTCGTGTTGTGCGAACTATAGTCCTGCTTTGCGTGACTGAATGACTCAAAAGTCGAATTAACCTTCGGCTTTAGTGGGACTATTCGTACTTAGGGTATCTTATCTCCGATAGGTACATCAACAAGGCTGTAAGCAAAGGGGTCGAAAGAAAAAATATGTTGATTATTGGAACTAAAGTTCTAAACACTACCGTTAACTCATAGCTGTGGATATCATTAACATATACCTCGACGAGACGGAGTCTGAAGTCTCTATTCTGCACCATTCACATAGGATGCTCTAATTTACCACTGGAGTGATCTTGGCTTCCTGCTTGAGGTTCCTGCTGCTGAATCCAACGCGGACGACAAACTCGCCCTTGGGGATAAGCCACTGCTGCGACACGATGTCCCAGTAGCTCAGGTCTCTCCGCATCAGCTCGAAGGTCACCTTGCGCGTCTCACCGGGTTGCAAGTTGACCTTGTCGAAGCCACGCAGTTGCTTTGGCGGCGTTCCTGCCGGGGTGCTGTCTGGGAAAGTCACATAGAGCTGGGGGACGGTCGCACCCTCGACGTCACCAGAGTTGGTGACTGACACAGTGACGTTATAGATGGTCTCCCAGAGAGCAGGGTTACCTCCTGGCTGGATGGGGGACTTGGTGCTTGGGACTGAGGAGATGGAGTCGACCACAGGCTTGGCGGAGATGCCGGAGATGTTGAAGGTGGTGTAGGAAAGACCGTACCCGAACTCGTACAGCACAGGGATGTTGTGGGCGTCGAAGTAACGGTAGTCGATTTCGAGCTTCTCGTCGAACCAAGATTGCCAGTCGTCACGGCCCTTGGTGGTGACAGCAGTTGTGGGAGGGGCATTGTAGTCGCTGCCGTTGCGGGCGATGGTGTATGGAAGACGTCCAGAGGGGTTGACGTCGCCGTAAAGGACATCGACAATGGAGTTACCGGACTCTTGGCCTGGGAAGTGAGCGGCAAGGATGGCAGTCACATTGGGGTGGTGGGCGAAGGGGAGCTCGTTGATGCCGGAGGAGTGGGTGACAACGATGGTGTTGTTGCAGAAAGACGCAACAGATTCAACGACCTCGGTGCCGTTATAGTCGAGGGTCAGGTGCTCACGGTCCGCGCCCTCTTCGGCCCATGTCTTGACGAAAACGAGACAGGCAGATGGGGGGGTGGGAGAATACAACAGCTCGGTCTGGACATCGGAAGTCGCGATTTGAGTGTTGTTCAACCAGTATTGAACGAGGCTCGTCTTGTCTTTCTTCGCACGCTCGTTGATAGCGGTCAATGGAGAGACCAGGTATGTGAAGCGGCCAGTTCCCGAGCCACCGCCAGCAGCGAGGTTTCCATATTCAAAATCCTCAAGGTTGACTGGACCGTTCGTGTTCTCCGTCGCGTCGTTACCGAACACGGCCAGGGACTTGGGCGCTTTCAGAGGGAGGGCGTTCTTGATGTTCTTGAGCAACACAGTGGACTCAGCTGCATGTCTACGGATGAGCTCACCATGGTTTCCGCGAACATCACGACTTCGAGGGCCGGTAAGGTTAAACTCGCGAATCCACGTATCCCGGGGCGAGAAGGTGTTTAGGTCGGCACCGGACGGGTCAACGGAGGGATAATCCTTGTCCTGGTTGAGCCAGTAGTAAGGGGCCATGATGCGAACAATCATGTCGTCAACGCGAGATTCGTCCAGGGTTCCGTTGTTCACAGCCCGAGTCACATTTCCGCCAAAGAATGAGCCGGCCTTGTTGTCTTTGCCGTATGCGCCGAGACCACCAGGCATGTCCATGTCTTGTCCGCTCTTGATACCGGCGACACCAGAGTGGGTGGCACCCCAATCGGACACAACATAGCCCTGGAAGCCAAGTTCCTCCTTCAGCAGTCCGTTAAGGGTCTTGGAGTTGGCACATCCATAGGAGCCGTTGATCCGGTTGTATGAGCACATGATGCTAGCCGCCTTAGCGCGGACAGCGTTAGCAAACGGCCACAGGTAGAGCTCATGCATGGTTCGGTCATCGATGTTGGAAGACAGAGCTTCCTGGACGACCTGTCCGGTTGGACCACTGGAGTTGAAGCTAGGGTTGCGTTGGGTCTCCTGCTCATTACCAATAAAATGCTTCGCGTTAGCCTGAACACCGGCATCCTGGTGGCCTTGGATGGTCTCCTCCATGGCAACACCAGTAAGATAAGGGTCGGCAGCGAAGCCTTCCCAGTTTCGGCCAGAGTAGGCGGAGCGACCTAGAGGACCAGCAACAGGGCCGAGGATGACGTGAGCACCCTTGGCTTTGAATTCCTCGCCCATGGCATAGCCGCGATCATACAAGATCTTCCGATCCCAGGACGCTGCGACAGTGACTCCAGCAGGGAAGACACTGGCGTAGTCTGCCACGCGAATGGCCAGCGGGCCGTCCTGCAGACAGATACCGCTGAAGTTGAGTCGTGGGATGGCCATGATGTTTCCTACACATGGTCCAAACTGCCCAGTGACCATATCGGCCTTCTCCTCCGGGGTCAACTCGGCAACGAAGTCCTTGGCCTGGGCGAGGGCTGTCTCCCATCCACCGGCACCAGTCGCATTTGCTATTACTCATGTTAGCAAGAGAGTTCCTAGGACGGTCTAGTGGCGAGGAAGTCTTACGTGAAGGGTAGACAGCAGGAGAGTGTCCATATTGACCAAAGATTGTCGTGTTCTTAGGTTGGACATAGCTGAACGCATCGTCATCACGAGAGCCACCGCCAAAGTCCTGGCCTTGGACGCCAGTAGCAGCCAGTAGACCCCAGACGAGGAGGTGAGCAGTACTAGCCATGATTGCCATGTTTCCAACTGCACAGTTGAGCTGCGGTTAAGGAAAAGAGTCTGACAGTGATCTACCTCTGCTACTTATAGGTTATTCGGGCAGCCGCGACCCATCTTGGGATCCGGCTCAGCCGGTGGGACAAGATATCGAAATGGGCATTATTGGAAATCTCCTTCACTTTCGTGGCCGTATGAGGTCATACTAGCATCTCTAATTCTCTATACACTATACTCGTCCCCAGTCCATTTCCAATGTGGGGGGTTGGGGTTCGGAGCAAAAGCGGAGGAGCAAGCGAATGAGAGTCAAATAAAGGTGGGCACTAACACGATCATTAAGAGACCATGGCGGGAGGAACTCCTGTTCTGAGCCTCTGAAGAGCCATCCTGATGGCAGTTTAGCCGACGTTTACCCACGGCGAAGGCCAGTTCATGGTTCGTGACTTCGTCGTGGTACTGATCGGCAGGGAAATGGCCTGACTTGGATAAGCGATATTGAGAGGCACAACACGAGGTTACTTTCTCCAGGGCATAATTCTCCATAATGCGGAGTGTGGAGAACAGTAATGCAAAAAATGTTCACTGAGTCAGGCCCTGGGACTGGATGTCCGGAAATACCCCCGACTTGCCGAGGTAACCCTCTCTGCTTTCTGACCCGACTGTTGCATCGACCTGAACATCAGAAGTTGTAACATGTTGGAACAGGTTCGACTCTAAAACTGAGCCTGAGGCTTGCTTATCATGGACGCCCACTTTGGGGTTCAGGGCTTGGAAGGAATGAGCTTGCACTACTAGTGTACCAGTCCCGCTCCAAAAACTGGAGGCTGCCAAGTTCCGCCACTCGGACACTTTCTGGCTGGCAGCCGAGCAGTGATTGTTACCTACTAGGTGGGAATAAAGGTTCCGTGCAGGCCGTTTAACCGGACGTCCACTGCACAACGGCGGAGATGAAATATAGCACGCACCGCACGTTAAGTCATGGTTCCACGGCACGGTACTCGAGCCCTTCATCTTCGAGGAGTTGGAGCTCTGCACGGACGACTGGCCTAGTATGCAACACCTTCACCGAGAAGTCCACTGTCGTCCAATAAGCTGGCATGCCAGTGCCAGTGGTCGCCCGGTAAACCCGCAGTGTCAACTCTTTTTTCTGCACGACGTCAATACCGGGCAGCTTGTAGCTTGACCTAACGAATAATGCCGCTTTGCTAGCCTGTCAGACAGCCCATCATCAACAATCTGTGTCTCGGCAGAGTGGTTAGTGGTAGAGTGGCGTTCTGAGGTGTGTGTAAATGGCTGCCCTCGCCAAGGGACTGAGACAAGATTTCTTCCACTCCTCTTCCAAGCCATGGTTCTACGATATTGTCTCTTCCGGAAGATCCTCGGTAAATGAATTGCCGGAGTGAGAGGCCGGGCCTTCATGTCGGGATCCAAAGGTAGGCCGAAAGGTGTGGGACGGAAGACCTGGAGAATCGGAGAGACGCCGCTATCCACGGGATAAGTGGGGGAGAGCGCTGGCGCAAATTTATGGGGTACGGAGGAGGGCATTTCCGGAGTTGAAAATTCAGACGAGGTTCTATCATAATTATTTCTGTAAAGTTGAGGATGTGAGTGAACGCGCGAATCGATCTAGTTCTTCGATTGACATCCCTGCAACTTTAGCGTGGGCTATAGTATAGACATGCATACTAGTCTACCTGGTATTAAGAGAAAGGGCCCAAACACCACGCAACATGGAAGAATAGACCCTCACGTTATCTAAATAATAGCGAGAAGGCTTGGCTTCATTGTGACTGGTGGCCGGGGAATTTATGTTCCCTGGAATAATCGGTGAGAGCAAATTGACTCAACTGTCGGGCACATTCCCGATAGTAACCAGGACACCGACACTCCGAAGAGAAGAAACACTCGAAAATCCACCGTCATTTCCCGTCTCCAGACCGGATGGAAGTTCGATCGACACGAATGAGGAACTCGGTCCCAGTGCGCACAGAAAGCCTCCGATGCCGCTGTTGACGTCTCGGGATTCCGATGGCTGCCACTTCTTATACCGGAAATGCTAGTGCTGGGAATCTGAGGCCTTTCCGATGTCAACGGCGGATGGATCTTTCTCCGCCGTGGGGGTTATTGCTCTCGGGCCCTCAATTTTTCTCGGGCCTTCTATTGCTCTTGGGCCTTCTATTGCTCTTGGGCCTTCTATTGCTCTTGGGCCTTCTATTGCTCTTGGGCCTTCTATTGCTCTTGGGCCTTCAAGGCTCCAGTTCTTTCTCCATAATTTCGGGGTCTCCAAGAGAATCCCGGATTGTCAGTCCTGAGCCATGGCATCGGGATTTGGTCGGGCCCGGTGGCTGTAAACGAGATGAGTAAATTTGAAGAATAATCGGAGAACCTGGGCTTTGTCTCTTGTGCACCCGTCATTGGAGTACTCCCAACAGACAGCGTGGGACTGAGCGATCATCACAATTAACTGCAGGGGAGTCAGAATGGCTGCCAGAGGAGCATATTTTGACTGACCTCAGTTTCCAGTTTCCAACAACGAAACATTCCAAATGGTCATTTCGCTGCTTGAATTTTCCCATAATATTCCACACACTAACTACTCCGTACACTGGCTCAAGGTGGAGGGGACAAATACCGATAATAAAGCCCCAATGCCTACTTCACAACCCATTCATCTCAAGGTACCGAATATTTACTTCCAAACAGTCTCAATTTTAAGCACTAATACGGGCTTGCCACTAGGAAAGAGTCAGTCCATCATAAACAGCCACAAAGACGAATACCCAGTCAAATTCAACAACTTCCTATACCACGTTATCCTCCCTATGTCCATGACCGCCGAGCAAGTGACCGACATAAAATACTATGAAAACTGGGAACAAAACTGAGGAGCGATGCTGGATCGGTTGGAGTTATAGGCTTGTGGCTGTGGGCGAGAACAGAGTATGTCGATTCACAGTCCAAGCAATCCTTACGCAACTAGCGGTGGAGAGCCTGCTGAGATTGTTCAAGGTGAGCTTAAGCTTTTTCCCCCTTGATATTGGGGCCCTGGCTATGATGGTCAAGCCAACATTGCTTTGTTGGTTTGTCTGATGGCCCTGGTTATAGATCGGCGGCTTGTCGCTGCTAGCGTCTAAAACAATAAATGAAGCAACGGGCCTGAACTAGGTCGATTGTGCGGCGTGCTGCCATCTCTCTCATACTTGGTAGGTTTCTCACTTGCGATTTCCAGGCCTGCGAGCTACCAAGTGTACGCGGCTTTGGTCCTTGCGAGCGCTGTGGCCGCCGTCTCTGCGCAGGTCATCGTCGCCCGCCCTTTCATATATGCGAGGATACAGTGAGTACATCTCTCAAGTTCTACACTTTACTTGCATCAAACCCAACAAGAACAAGCCCATTCCAGGTGACAAATTCGAAATCAACGAAGAGGCTCTCTGCGCGGGTGCATCGGACCTAAACGGTGGTCACAGTTGCGAGATCGACTACCCAGATGCATGGGGACGCGAATCTCTCATGAGAGGCGCCCACTACCATACTCGCACTCGATTTCCTGGTGATGTGTCTTCTTTGCTCATCCGCGTGCCTCGAATGAACAGCAGTATCCCCTAATCACTAATAGACTACCTCACTTGCAGCGAGTATGTTGAGCTCAGAATCTTTGGGGAAAAAAAACTAAACTACCTGCCCCCGAGATGTTTGGTTGTGATATTGCCAATTATAAGGATAATATAGTAAGAGTGAGCTATGTCCTTATGGAGGAAATGCCTGGGAGACCATAGAACCAGCAGGTACCGCGGGAGAAGCGCTTCGCAGATGATGAAGAGAAGGAGAGGCTGTAGAATGGGCTGGCTGATATTCTGATTTAGCTCCAGCGTCATTCACTCATCAAGGCCGGATCCCTCCTTCCAGGGCCCTTGACTATCCATGAGAATGCGCTGGCACGCTTCCTTATGGCCAAGGGTACAACTGACTTGGCCGATCTTACGACCAAAGATGAAAGACAGGGAAGATTCTTCTTTGGCTTTGAAGTTGATCTTCCGTGGGATGAGACACTACTTCTGGTAAGTGGTATCTGGGCTGCGTTCGGGTTGATAAGGATACGGACTGGAATGTCTGGAAGTAGGGCATGCTAAATGAGCATGGCCACGACGCACGCTTGAAGTAAATCCTTGATAGACTTGGAGTTGGCCTTTAGAGAAATTCAACTCTTGTTTCCAATATTTCATATATACTACATATCCCTCTCCTACCGAGGAAAACCGACTGGGCCAATATGACAACAGTCAGGCCAAGAGCCCCCATATACCTCTTAACTAATAGCGCACCGATCGAAAAGCACCAAGGAAACCCTCTCCACCAACAGGTGTTTGAGCCTCCTCAGGCCCGTGCATGGTTGGGCCACAGCGGCCGCTACTAAATAGTAACGTGGGTCGGTGACCTGCGCTGGGCTCCATGCGGTAGGGCGCTCACTAAGTAAGTATATGCAAGACTCAGTATTATTAGAGAAATATTAATGGCTTCCTGATTCATTAAACGATTTACGAATGTATATTATTTGCAGGTGTCAAAGAAATTGAAGGCAAATCCCATATCTATACTAACAGCACCTGGAATCTATACTGTGGGGATACATATAATTGGGAGATACGGTTTTCAAGGTTGAACGTATTAATACTTCATTTATATGCTTTGAAAGTCTTGTCTAAAGAATAGTAATCCTTTGGTTGCATAGCTATTTTATTGATGGTGCTTATCAATGAATTCAGAAAGAAGCGACGGGAGCTGGAGGCCCAATGTATGACCTTGATGTGTACTACGTCTCGAGTGACCAACTCTCAATACCACAGCCAGAAAAAGCTATCAAGACTTACCTGAAAAGTGACTGCAAATATAGAAGGCTCAAAGTTCTTTTCACCGGTGAGATGCTGCTATCACAGCTATTGTCAGGCGAAATAACTGTAGTTATCGCATATGTTGCGATAGAAAATTTCATCGACTCCTATACAGTATAATGAATATGCTCTATGGTATACAGCGCGCACACCGGAGGCGAAAAATCCCACCATAGGACTGGCTCCTCGAAACAGAGTGGAGGCCGTTTATCGTCTCTCACATGAAATTAAAAACACTCTCGATTGTCGTTCAGAATCACTCCAGAACAGTGAAATATCGCCAGGGTTTCATATATAATATCATATATCATGTTCAACTGATGCTGACGTCGAATTGAAGCTACACCCATCACTTGTTTAATGGAATCCAAGAAAGCGTGGTGACTGACTGAAGGTGAAATGACTTTCAGGCGCCGCTAGTGCTGTCATTCAAGCTCAGGAACCACTCTGCTCTCCTGTTAACAGAACTCGGGGTGAGGACACAATGCTGATCCGATACTAGGATAGAGGACAATATTCCTTGAAATGGCGCATTCCTCTAGTCAAGTCAATAATTGGACCCGGCCGTGACTGCTCCGATGTCAATCAAGGACATGCTCGCGAGAGCCCGAGAAAGGGTAACCGTTTCCTCTGGGCAGCCACATGGGCGGGACAAAGAGCACTTTTGTTTGCTCTGCCTTCGCACTAATCCAAAGACGGGCGTCAAGCTCGTCGCCGTCGTGGCTAGTTGTTCCTGGCGGATCAATGTCGGGTGGAAATGAGAACCCTCATTTGCTGGCTTGAACGAGGTTGATTCAGACGGAGCGGAGTCAGCCGTGATGAAGACACTAAATGGAGCCCATTCTATGAGCCGGGATCATCAGAGCGCTGTGGCCTGGGAGGCTATCAACGGCGGCGGGTGGTTTCGGGGTTTCGCCCCGTCTCATGATAGGATTGGCCCGACGGCAACCGGATCAAGGGGTTGGGCACCTCTCAGCTGTAGGGTTGCAAAGAAGGTCAATGGTAATTTCGCGAAGTCGTACGCGATAGATGTAGAAAGGTCGAGAAAGGTTCTGGGGCTATGGAGGTATCCAAACCGAACTGTAGCGAAAGCAAAGGAAGCAAAAGGAATCGAGTCTAAAACCTCAATATCGTGAACGGAGTAAACGGACTCGGACGGGCCCGTGTCGAAGTGGCCCAAGAGGATGAGAGATTGTTTCGGGATTGGTTGCGATTCGATTTCGCAGAAGAACAGGACCCACAGAATTCCCCCGAATGCACGTCAAAGACCGTGCGTGCTCGAGCAGTCAGTCTGGGTCGGAAGCGCTGCAAAATGACGAAGCGACTTAGCCTGCTTTTCACATTTTCCCAGGCAGTCATAGCGAAGAAAAGTCAAAGACAAATCCAGCTATTACACGCTATGCGTAGTATGTGGCTGTTGACAAGACAGACTGCGGTTGTGATATCAATAAAGCGCCTGAGGCACCAATTATGTCACATGTGGGACCGCTGCCAGGCCCCGATGACGACACTGAGTCTCGACCACGAGCAGGCATGACTTCAATTACAGGCTGGACTCATAAATATTTCGCCATCATTATTATCGAATTCGAACAAGTATCTAATTATGGTCCACACATATAATTCGTCAGAGTGATGCCCAGGAACGAACGTCATGGCCTGACTCGGTCAATCAATTGCTTGGTATAGAGAACAGCGTAGACCATACGAGAAGAAGCGTGCAGGAGAGCGCTATATCAAGGGAGGGCCTATGATGGCCGCGGGTCCGCCCCGAGTGGCCTTGCTCCGGCTAGACGGTTGGAATTTCCGACACAATCGTGGGCCCCGTCAGGCAGCCAAAAGCCCGCTCAGTGAACGTTGTACAGAGTCTGGGCATGACTGGACACACTGGTCAAGTTGCAGACTCACTCCCGAGTCCATCTTCTATTCACAGACCCAACAGTCTATGTAGCGGTCCTAGCCAGGCAAGGAGGTCATCCTGTTTCTCTCGGACCCCAGATCTACTGCAGCATGGACTAATCAGAAACCGCGCGAATGGACGGTAGCGTTGTCGCGCTAGTTGGTATTGATGCAATACGTCTCGGGCCCCACTCGGAGCCACAGTATGACTATGGGCTCTCCCAGGTGTTCTTAGACCCTCTGTGCATTTCACGACGACACAGCCTGCAGTTTCTCTGCTATCATTGGCCTTACTTCTCTTTCGACTCACCGGACCCGTTTCTCTATTCTTCCGTCGTCACTTCCTTGTTTGGCTGCTTCCTGCTGGGCCTTGCTATATAACCCCCCTCCCACCCCCTTCTCTTTGCCATCTTCACCTTTCCCTTCACCCATAACACAATCATCCAACTCTTGCGTACTCGAATAATCTTCTTCATATATCATCGCGTACATACATCAAATCACAAAAACACTTCTACCTTACAAGCCACTCCATAAAGAATCCTTCTACAATGGGTAAAGCTATTCACTTCGGTGGCGGAAATATCGGGCGTGGTTTCGTTGGAGAGTTCCTCCACGACGCTGGGTATGAAGTCGTCTTTGTCGATGTTGTCGACGACCTTATCTCCTCTATCCAAAAGACTCCCACGTATGACATCACGGAGATCAGTGATCAAGAGGAGACTACAAAGACAATCGACAACTATCGCGCCCTCAACTCCAAATCTGACGAAGCCGGGGTCGTCCAGGAAATCGCAACTGCAGACATCGTGACATGCGCCGTTGGCCCCAGAGTTCTTCAATTCATTGCCCCTGTCATTGCTAAGGGCATTGACTCCCGTACCCTGTCAAATCCGCTAACTGTCATCGCTTGCGAGAACGCCATCAACGCCACCGACACACTCCGCGGCCACATCGAGAAGAAGGCTTCCGCCGATACCCTCTCCAGCCGCGCTGTCTTCGCCAACTGCGCCATTGACCGCATCGTCCCCAATCAGCCTCCGAACAACGGTCTCAATGTCCGAATTGAGAAGTACTACGAATGGGTTGTTGAAGAACTTCCCTTCAAGAAGCACGGTGTTGCACCTCCCAAAATCCCTGCCATCCACTGGGTGGAGAATCTCGACCCCTATATCGAGCGCAAGCTATTCACCGTTAACACCGGGCACGCCACGACTGCCTACTACGGCCACCTTGCCGGCAAGAAGACTATCGCCGACGCCCTCCGCGATTCACATATCCGCAGTACTGTCCACAAGGTTCTCGATGAAACCGCATCTCTGATCATCGACAAACACGGTATTTCACAGCAGGAACAGAAGGAATATGTCGATAAGATCGTCGAACGTATCTCGAACCACTACCTCGAGGACGGCGTTGAGCGTGTGGGTCGGGCTCCACTGCGCAAGCTTTCCCGCAACGAACGCTTTATCGGACCTGCCTCCCAGCTTGCTGAACGCGGCCTGAAATTCGATGCTATTCTCGGCGCCATTGAGCAGGCTCTCCGCTTCCAAAATGTACCCGACGACCAAGAGAGTGCAGAACTTGCGAAGATTCTTAAGGAACAAACAGCCGAGGACGCCACAAAAACACTCACCGAGCTCGAACAGGACCACCCACTTTATTCCCATGTTCTTGAACGCGTGAGGACCGTTCAGCAAGAGTCCAAGTAGGATCAACACCCCAACAAGTTGTCACAGCCCAGCGTTGTCGCAACACCACCTCCCTTTCTTATCCTTTTTCGAACCCAGACTTACGTACTTCCATAAAGTGAGCCGACTCGAGCACGGATATAAAGGTCCCCGGGCGAGTTTCTTCTCCAAACGACGTTGAACATGTCTGGCCGCTGGACGGAACTTGAATGCGCATGGGATACGGCGAGTATGGTTGGCGTGGGTTTTATGTATTATGAAATTTCGGTTCAGCGTTTATGACTTGCAAGTATGTAATCACTTAGATGCAGAGCAGCTAAGCTACTATTAATGAAATCATGACCTGCATGAACGTGCCTTGTCCTTGCGTAGGCTCTATTGCGTAGTCAATCATGCAGAGAAACGGGGCGATGCCTTCGTATGCTTGACTTAGAAAGCCTACAGTTTACTCTCTCCCCACTGCGGCTTTCTCTTTTCCACAAATGCCCTTAATCCCTCCTTGATATTGTCACCGGCATTCAGCTTCTTTTCCCAAGATTCAATAATCAACCGAGTCCCCTCTTCCGCACCTACTCCCTCCCACCCCATCTTAACCCCCTCGCGGCTCACTATAACCGCATCAGGGCTATTCTCCGCAATCTGCGCCGCAACCTCAACGGCCCTCTCAACCACCTTCTCACTACCCACAACCTCGTTCACAAATCCCCACTTCTCCGCCTCTCTCGCCTCTACCCTGCGTCCCGTAAGCACCATCTCCATCGCCCGCTGTTTGCCCACTGTCCGCACGATTCTTGGCAATGCCCCCGCCCACGCAACCACCCCGCGCTGCACCTCGGGGAACCCGAAGAACGCCTTCTCCGAAGATATAACGATATCGGTGTTTGTGATCATCTCGCAGCCTCCACCGAGCGCCAGTCCATTCACGGCTGCAATTATAGGCTTTTTACCTGTGCGCCGGGAGAGCCCGCCGAAGCCCGAGCGCGGCATTGGGGCGCGTGGTTTGGAGGATTGAGCGCTGTTATTCCATTCTGCAGAGTCATAGTTTATATTCAGTATATAATAAGCAAATAAGGATGACTCGAGAAGAAAGCACGGAGAGGATGGAGGAATAAAGATATGGATATATCTAGTATATGTCCCGGATATACATACCCTTCAAATCTGCCCCCGCACAGAATGCCCTCCCCTCACCGGTTATAATCCCAACGCGGACCGAGGGCTCCTCGTCCATCCATTCCCAGACCGCATGGAGTTCTGCATTTCCGGTCGAGTTGATGCAGTTGAGGTCTTTGGGGCGCGATAACGTGACGAGGAGGATGTGCGGGGTTGGGAAGGTGAGTTTGCTATATTGCAGGGTTGGTGGGGGTGTTTTGAAGGGCATTTTGAGAGTTCTTCGATTTGGCGCTCTTTGGTTTCGTTGCTTCACATAGGTGCTCGGTATTGTTCTCCTGGTAGAGGGGAGGAAGGTGTGATATAGTACCGGGTACTGATTTAGCCGTCGGTGTTACTTGCGGGCTTGATGCCGAGGTTTCTCGTTTTGGAGTTGGAGTTGGAGTTGCGGAGAAGAGTCCGATCTGGTTTCTCGAGTCTGGCCTTGGTTGATCTGGGTTTATTCTCTACGAGTATTCAATAGTCAAGGTGAGATTCGTATTAAGAGCTAACTTAATACTACCAAAGCGTCTCCAGCCGTGCTTAGTGATATCGTAACTGATATCGTAACAATTCGTGTTTCAACGCCCACAACTCCCACTCCGCGCTCTCTCCGTTGCCGTATGTACAATATAGCCAGGCGAAAAATCTGGTAATAATATCAAAAATGAAAACTAAGCCAAATAGCACCTATCCCTTGTTTATCCATCCGCTATGCACCATAAAATCGAATATCCGACTTGATTTCGTACTGTCAATCTGCATAGGGAGAGTTGTTAGTAATGCGGTGCTATCATGAAACTCTACGTATTTGTGAACATACCTTGCAGATAGTCCGTGCATCCTTCTTTTTCAGACTTCCACCAGACTTCATCGATTCCTTCAGTAGTGTCTCTTTGATTACCAAGTACGGCTTAGGCTGGATATGAAGGATGTCGCAGAGCTCCACCTCTTCCTTGGTCAACAGGTGGAGGTCCGGTGCACCTTCATTCTCCAGCTTCCAGGGAATTACGCCGTTCAGTGGCTGGATAACAAACTTAGTTTTTGTCGGCTGAGGTGTAGCCGCGCTGTCCCCATTTGCGGCAAAGGCGCGGTCAAAATCATTCATAGGAACGTTGGCTTCCGGCGCCTTGGGAGTGCCAGCGGCTTGTTGCAAGCGCAACGGAAGTTCGGGTGTCGTTAGCTGGTTGGCGGCAGTGGGCTGCTCCGGCTGCTGATTCTGTTTCGGACGGGTGCTGGCAAATCGTTCGAATGAGCCCTGGGGCATAAGTCGCGCTTGACGTTGCTGCTTCTCCTGCTCATACTTCTCTCCACCCTTGAGGTCCCCGATCCCATTCTGACGCCATTCCTGTAATTGTGAGATTGCCAGCCGGAGATTGTGCTCGTACTCTAACCCCTTGTTGAATTCTTCGAAATCGTCGCGGTTCATCATTCGCGCGAAGGGTTTGGCCTTGGTCAGTAGATCCCGCTCCTCCTTCGTTCGCTTTTTCTCTAATGCTGTGTTCTTGCGATAATCAAGGAGGTTATGCTCGAATATAATTTTCTTGCGCTCTGTCCGTGCCGTGAGGCGAGTGTTGTATATATCGAAGACGGTCATCTTCAACTCCATCTCTGCATCTGTCTCACCATTGGGGGCATCGCCAGCGCCGGGTTCAAAGGTCATATGTTGTACAGCCTCCTCCGCATCATTCATAAACTCCGTCTCGAATTCCAGTCGCCCAGGCATGTAACCCTGTACCTCGTGACAAGCCGGCACACTAGCCGTCGGTTTTTGTTTGGGTGTAGTGGGAGCAGCCGCCTTGGCAGCATCCTTACGCTCCTCGATACGCCGTTTTTTCCGAGATTGGAACTCTTCCTTCGAAATCGAGTCCTGGAGACGCGTATCCTCGGGGTCGGCGCGTTCTGGCAGTGGGAAGTTGGGGCTGTCAACATATGTGCCCAAGTAGTGATCTCGCACTTCATCCTTTGTTCGATAGCCACCAATATGATCCGCGATATCAGCCCACGAGCCCAATCCGTATATCTCGGCACCTTCCAACAACAACAACTCCTCGTCCGCACCCCAATCTTCTTGAAAGATAGGGACAGAATTTTGTTCTATCACTTGGAACGGGTGCGTTTGGGGATCATGGCTTTTGGATTTTTCTCCGGCGGCGAAACATGGTACACAAAGATCGTATTCATTGCAGGCGGGGTGTGCGCATGATATGCGAACCTAATGTGCGGGATGGGGTTAGCAAGGGATACGGGACCGGGAAAGGACCAAACAATGGCCGCATTTTAAATCACATTGAGGGCCATCTCACAGTTGAAGTCACGTCCACAGAGCAGACATCGCAATGATACTTGGTGCCAGCTTCTGTACCGCGCGCAGCGGTCTTCTTTCGTATTACACCCATCGATCCCGGGGCCCTTTCATCCTCCGCGTTATCCTTAGCCGTTTCGACAAGAAGTGAGTGCCCTCCAGGAAGGATAGAGGGCAATTCCGATGAACTCAGCGGAATAATGGATGCGATGGTCGCAGGTGTCGTCCAGATAAAGGGATGCTTGATGTCTCCGCAGCTGACTAAGTGGAGATGCAGGAGGTCTGTGATGGTTCGTAGGGCTGGGATTGATCGCCAAAATGGAATCCTGTGGCCGAGGGTTGGGTGACTCGAATAATTGCGGTGTTAGTGGTCTCGAATAATGATGTTGATAATCCGTGTTCGCGGGTCGAGTCTGTTCGCCCTGGCATCAACCAGCACTCAATCATGGCGGGCGACGTCTGGTAGGCGAGTGGCTGTGCACCAGCTATTGCTCTTGGCACATCGGGCACAGCCCCTGTGGCACCATTATGCCTTGAAAACAAGGCCAATGTCGCCTCCCAGACTCAGGCAACATTCCCCACGACCCAATCATTGGCGTCCCTCCTTTGCGTTTCCCCCCTCTTTCTTCGCTCCCATTCGGGAAAGCCGTCGATTTCCCCTCTTCAGCCTCCATCACGACTATTCAACACACCTCACCAATTGATCAGTCAGTGTTACTCCGTTCCTTCACACCTCCTGCCCCCTTGGCTCCAGGCCTAGATATGGTTTTCTAGGCTCCAAGTATCTTTGGCTCATCTCTTCCCGGTCCAAATACTCGGAATTGTCTTTCTCTCACACACCCTGTTGGGTCTCAATCGCTCATCCCGAGATCCTGATCGTCCCTGTCGGCGTGTCACTCCGTACTGCTGATTGCTGTGGCTGTGGCGGTCTTGCATCTCCTCATTTTCTTGTCAACTGTCAGCGCCGAAGAGGTGCCTCCCTTTAGTCTCGATCTCGAGTCTCCTTTTCGTCCTCTTTTCAGCCGACCGACTCCGCTCTCTCGCTTTCCTTTTCACCCCGAGGCTTGCGATCGATCCTGCCCGGGACGCCCACGACGACTCGTTTCTATCCAGGACCGACGAACCGAACCCCCTCCTCCCACAAAACACCAGACCGCCCCTTCACCATGTCCTGGAAAATCACCAAAAGTATGTTTAGTTGGTCTCCCAAACCTCCCCAAACTCTCCCCTTTTTCGTGGGTCAGACAACTAACCTCACCGTTTCTACCAATCCAGAACTCAAGGAGACACACCTTGCTCCTTTAACACAAAGTTTCACGCGCTCCTCCTCCACATCTACTATCAAGGGTGAATCCGGAGAGGAAACACCGGCCCCATCGCAGACTCCGAGAGTGTCGTCGGATACCTCGAACAACGGGATCGGTATGTTCTCAAGTCTCGTTTTAGAAACCGGGATTATCTAACGTTTCACGAAGCCGCCTCTGAATCACTCGTCTCTCCTCCCGTGGCACCCGTCAACCCCGGCATTTTGATTGTTACTCTCCACGAAGGCCGCAGCTTCGCTCTGCCACAGCATTACCAACAGGTATTCAACTCTCACGTCCAGAACGGCTATGGGGTGCGGCCCAATTCCTCGTCCTCTCACTCCGCACATGCGCAAGCAGGTTCATTTGTGCAAAACAACCGTCCTCAATCAACAAGCTCAGGCATCAACGCTGCACCGACTATCCACGGTCGGTACTCGACCAAATACCTTCCTTATGCCCTACTAGATTTCGAAAAAAATCAAGTCTTCGTCGATGCAGTTTCAGGAACACCAGAAAACCCACTGTGGGCCGGCGACAATACCGCATTCAAGTTCGATGTGTCTCGTAAGACCGATTTGAACGTTCAACTATACCTCCGCAATCCTGGTGCTCGTCAAGGTGCCGGTCGGAACGACGATATCTTCCTGGGTGCTGTCAAGGTGCACCCGCGATTCGACGAGGATCCTCAGCCTTACGTCGACGACCCTAAGTTGAGCAAAAAAGACAACCAGAAGGCGGCTGCCGCTCATGCCGCACAGGAGGCTAGCCTGGGACAGCTTGGGCCCGAATGGCTTGAACTCCAGTTTGGCACTGGTTCGATCAGAATCAGTGTATCCTTTATCGAAAACAAGCACCGCAGCATGAAGTTGGAGGACTTCGACTTGCTGAAAGTTGTTGGTAAGGGTAGTTTCGGAAAGGTCATGCAGGTTATGTAAGTGCCCGTAACACATACACCTATATGTCAATATTTCACATACTAACAGACCTACAGGAAGAAGGATACCGGCCGCATCTATGCCCTCAAGACCATTCGTAAGGCACACATTATCTCACGATCGGAAGTCACACACACTCTTGCCGAAAGGTCCGTACTTGCACAGATCAACAATCCGTTCATCGTACCTCTCAAATTCTCCTTCCAATCCCCGGAGAAGTTATATTTTGTCCTTGCGTTTGTGAACGGTGGGGAATTGTTCCATCACCTTCAACGAGAGCAGCGATTCGATGTCAACCGTGCCCGTTTCTATACCGCCGAGCTGCTTTGCGCGCTTGAGTGCTTGCATGGCTTCAAGGTCATTTACCGCGACCTCAAGCCTGAGAACATTCTTCTTGACTACACTGGTCATATTGCCTTGTGCGACTTCGGGTTGTGCAAACTTGATATGAAGGATGAAGATCGAACAAACAGTAAGAAACCTTCCCGACTACATTCTTTGAAATCGATTAACTGACGTGACACAGCATTCTGCGGGACTCCAGAGTATCTTGCTCCCGAACTCCTCTTAGGCCAGGGATACACCAAGACCGTCGACTGGTGGACTCTGGGTGTGCTTCTGTACGAGATGTTGACGGGTCTTCCACCCTTCTATGACGAGAACACAAATGATATGTATCGCAAAATCCTGCAGGAGCCTTTGACCTTCCCAAGCAGCGACATCGTTCCCCCAGCCGCACGGGACCTTCTCACTCGACTTCTTGATCGTGATCCCCATCGCAGACTCGGTGCCAACGGTGCCGCAGAAATCAAATCTCACCACTTCTTTGCCAATATTGACTGGCGTAAGCTGCTCCAGAGGAAGTATGAGCCAAGCTTCCGACCCAATGTGGTGCGTAACAACAGTTCCAACTCATCATAATGAAGAAACCCTTTTTGCTAACCTTTATATAGGCGGATGCCCGTGACACCAAGAACTTTGATACTGAGTTTACTTCTGAGGCTCCTAAAGATTCATACGTGGACGGCCCCATGCTGTCCTCAACCCAGCAACAACAATTCGAGGGATGGTCTTATAACCGCCCCGTTGCTGGTCTCGGCGATGCAGGTGGCAGTGTGAAGGATCCATCCTTCGCTAGTATTCCTGAGTAAAGCGCTTCTCAATGTCAGTGATGGACATGCTTAGCCAACCGCACGAGACGGGCTCTGAGACGAAAAGATCTCTTGTCCCGATCTACCCTTACATTTCACTGTTGCCTATGCATATCCTGCCACCTACGCCAAGCTCTGACTTTCTTTTTTTTTTTTCGTTCTCTTTTCCCACTCTATGTTATCCCGCCCGCCGCGGGCTCCATTTTTATCCCCGGGCATCTTTGTGCGATTGGATTAGTACGTGGCAGTGATCTCAGTTTAAGCGAGTTGCGTCTTTTCTCGATTTGTTTACCCTTGCATCAAAGATACATTCAGGCAGGACCCTACGCGTTCATTTCTCACATGCCTTTTGCACATCTACCTAGGGGCTTTGCGTCAGTTTACGGTCTTGTCATCCCCCGGCGTTGGAAAGAAGGGTCAACGTTTCTCCACGTCTGTTACTTCACTCTTCCCTGCCTTAAGCTACCAGATGGACTACCCGTGCTTTCCTTCTCGCTGATCTGCTGGTCTGATCCATCCAACGCGGTTTCATCGATGAACCACACCACTCGCTACAGGGAAGCAATTCACTTGGGCTGCTCTACCTACGGGGTTGAGTTTTACCACATTCGAGCTTTCTGGTTCCATCCAGTGGACTCACCGCGTTCCACCGCCATTCCTGTGGTTTATTTCCTCTTTTTTTTTCTCGTTTCGTTTTTTTTACGGTTTCTCGTCCTTTTTTTATTTCCCCTGGCGGGTTTCAAGCGCACTAGGAGGTCAAACAATTTGCGGAAACTATGGGTGTTGATTGAAGCGGACGTTTCATAGACCAACAATAAGTTGATATCATCTCATGTCATCTTTCTCTTCCGTAAGGCCGTACATATAGTTACCAAGTAGTTGGTTGGGCCTAGTAAGTCTCGAATTGTGTATGATGGCAATCACTAAACTCTGTCAGTCCCCCTCATGTGAGTGAGAAGATATACACTCTTCGAGTCGGAATTGAGAATACAACTCGTACTAGGCAACGGAATACCCAATTTTAGTCAATCTAAAATTCCAAACTTCAACATTATCCTTGCCCCCATCACCAATCAACACCAAGCAACTATGGTTGATTCTGTGATCCAGCTATTCTTGGGTCAAAAGGAGAGTGATGTGCCACTGACAGTCAGTCGGCTTGATCCTTTCGGCTTTGCGTCATCCTTTTATAAAGGATGAAATGGTGACACAAAAAATGTCGATCTCGGAAAATATTCTATGTGCGGCCGCAGGGGAGAGATGGGGAACCTGCAAGATGTTATCACTCCTTCTAGATCAGCCTGCCCCGGACCTTCCGATCACTAAAAGCGTACTCATTGCTGCTGCTCGATATGGAAGATATGCACATTCACTCTTGCTGCGTCAACTACAGTGTCAAATGCCAATCACGGGTGCAATTGCATTGCGTCGGAAAGCCTTTCCCACAGTGAGCGGGACATGGGCCTATTACACCAATATCAACTCCATATGCCTTCCTGAAACGCACCTGTTTCGGCTTCGATCCAGCATGATCCAAGATATCTACCTTGGCACTTGACGGGTTCCTCATCTCGAGAGTCGGCTGCCATGTTGAAAAGCGGGATTTCTGCCGACTTCACAGCCTTGTGCCCCAGTCATTCTCTTCTACCAGAACTAAGCCGATGATGGAACTAAAGGAGCAGAGGCTGCAAGAAAGGTACACTCAACTAGCCCCAGGCTGAATCGCTACTAAGAATGATACGCAAGGGCCCATGGGAATCAGGAGAGCGTAGAAGCACTGTAAGTATAACATAATTCTAGATTGAAACAAATAGATATAAAAGTAGTCGAAGGGGGTTTGAGAAAAGCAGATACAAAAAACCATACGCTCCCCGGGGCGAATTTTATAGCTGCGTATTAACATTTCAAAACACCATGTTGTTATTTCTTTGTCTTCTGAAAGCCCATCACTTTCTCGTCTAGGCAACCCACATAACTGTGTAAATAATCATGCCCACATTAGATCCTACCGGCACTTGAAACTAGGAGGTGCTTAAGCCTCTGCCTCTACCTCCTGCGAAGCGTTCGTCTCAGGCTCGGCCTCTCCTTCGTCAACATCAATCAGGGACCCCGATGATGCTGGCTCGGCAACAACACCCTCCTTCTCTAGACGGAGATACTCGTCCCATTCGGGGAACAAGTCATCATCGGCTGTAACATCGGGTGCACCTGGCGGGACACCGATGAGTCGGGAGATCTTTGCCTTCCCAGATTGCTCCAATGACTCCTTCCACTTGATCACAAGCTCGGATGCTCGAGAAGGCTTGTAAGTCTGAGAAAAGAGAACGGACTCAGCGATGCGGTTGGTGCGGACAAGCAGGTCGATACAGCCATCAACATCTCCGAGAGACCAAAGAGTAGAGAACGCAACATTGTGGAGACCGGCCTCCGAGGCCTGCGCGGCGAGCGTTCGTAGACCCTCTTGGTCGCCGCTAGCAGTGTGTAAAAGTAGGAGGGAACCAACATCTTTGGCATTAACGAAACATTCTTGAGCGAGAGACAGATTCCATCCTGACAAGGCTGCATCACCAACAATCTTCCACTTGTGTTCCGCATTCGCTTCACGGGCAATATCAAGGGCAATTTCGAGGTTGTTGAGAGCAAGGGCGAGCTCGAAGCGGTGTTCCTGGTCGGTTGCAACTTCCAGGGCCATTTCTTTATACCCCTGGCCTTCAAGGAACCGTGCGACCTTATTCATCTGGTCCTTGGGGATATCTTGAAGCAGCTCCGCCGCAAGATCCATGTCACCGCGCAGCACAACGGTTTGATATTCGACCATACTAAGAGACAGGGCAAACGAGACGGCGTTGACATCCTTATCGGCAACATAAACCCGGCCATCGCGGGGCAGATAACCAAGAACGTACATGGGCTGGTCAAAGTGCGACACCGTATATGTTTGGTCGCCGACGAGGTAGTTCAAGCGGTTCGTAGAATTCGTGTAGATGAAGCAGTCTCCGACCCATTGGCCTGTCCTGACAGACTCATTGACGTCGGTAACGACTTCGAACGCGGATTCAACGCCGTCCTCATCAGCTTCGCCCTCATTCAGCCCATTGACATAGTTCTCCCGAGAGAATCGCAGAACATAGAATGAGTCCTCGCAAGCAAGGGTAACCAGCTCTCCAGACTCGGACCAGTAGACCTATGTCGAGTAATTAGCCCGCGGAATTTGGATGAGAATATCTATGGATTTCCTTACAGCTCTCGGCTCGACCTCGATTCGTCGAACCAGGTTTCCAGTTTCCCAATTGAACATACCAATTCCTCCCTGTCCTCTAACACCAAGTAGAACACCCCCTGTAAGGCCTTCGGCCTGGAAGCCTACATCCAGGCCACCACTGACCTCCTTGAAATTCTTGAATATTTTGACACTGGTAGGCGACTCCCGAATAGCGTAGTCGTTACTGTTGTCTTTTGAACCCCAAGCAAAGTCCAGAGCTTGGCCAAAGGCCTTGTTTCTCCAGGCAAGGGCGGTATAGATAATATATTCGCCATCTCCACAGACGGAGACAAAGCGCCCATTAGGTGAATGCGACAAAGTTTGGGGGTAAACTTCGCATGAACCCAGCTCCTTGGTCGGAAGAGAAATCGGCGCTCCGTCTTTGACACTAGCGTCACCACCCTTGATGACCGTAGAAACAACTTCATTGTGTCGCGCCCAAACGATCTTTCCTGACCCATCCATGGAAACAGCCGGCTCCTCTCGGCCCATCTTCACTACAACAGCACCATCATCGAAACCCAACGCAACACCTTGTTTGCCCCGTTGGTAAGAAACACACCATGCTCTTTCTAGACCATAACTCAGAGATTGCTCCAGTCTATATGTGTTGGCGTGCCAAATCTTGATAGTTCCATCTTCAGAACCAGAGATAATAACTGGCAGTTCCGGGTGGTAGCAAGCGAAGGAAACGTTGCTTGTGTGTCCTTCGAGAGTCGCAATGAGCGCCTTCGTGGTGTAATCCCAGACCTTCACAGTCTTATCATCGGAAGTAGTTAGGAGATAAGGCTTATCCGCCTGGGGGTAGTAGTCGACATGGTTGACACCCTTTGTTTCGTGGGCTTCCAATGTAAAATTGGCGTGCGGTGAACCTAAGCTCCAAATCTTAACGGTCCGATCCAAACATGCCGAGGCGAATGTGTTCGTGTCCTTGGGGTTGATAGATAGACCCATCACATAATGGCTATGGCCCTCATAAACCTGGACACATTTCCATCCCTTCTCCCAGTCCCAAAGCTTAATTGTCATGTCATCGGAAGCGGTAAGTACAAACGGCTGGGTTGGGTGGACGGCGATGGAGCGGATGTAATCTGGGTGCGCCTCAAATGAAGCAATTTTCTCGGAGGTGTTGTAGTTGTAAATACGAAGCTGGAAATCATCTGAACCACAGACGATCCAGTTCTTTCTAGCGATAAATCGCCCAGCACGGACAGGGACATCGGTGAGTTCGAAGGTTTTAATAATCGACTAAAAAGGAATTGTTCAGTTTATTTTCGAGGGATAATCTTTCTGGCAAATTGCTTACCTGGGTCTCGTAAGACCATATGTATACGTGACCTACAAGTCGAAATTAGCATATACAACAACCCATCCATCCAGCAATCTGTTCACGAACCGCTGTATAGCGTTGTCAGAATCTAAAATAAAGTCAGTATGTTGACAGCCCTGCGATATTCGATGGACACTTACCCATGGCTCTGTAGGGTGAAAGTCAATGCCCTTCACTCGCTCCGAGCGAGCAAAGAGTTGTCTCTGGATTCAGGTCTCAGTCAGCAACCAGCCTCCAATTGCGAGTGATACGTCCAGCGCTGCGCCGATCGTATAGTGCTTTCAAATCACAGGTTCCGAGTCAGAAATCATACCTTGATATCCAATCTCATGTTGGGTGGGGGAAAGGAGAATCGCGACTATGTGCGGCGTCGGAGATGATCGATGAGGGAGGGGAACCAGGCCACGAGCCGTTCAGACAGCCCAGCCCGGGATTTCAGAGAGCTTCCTATGGAAGTCTAGTTTAACAGCAAGTTATAGACACAAAGGAAAAGAGCCGAGGGGAATGGCCTTAGGGAGGTGAATGGGAGTTCAGCGATGTGTCCACAAGGAGACGGCAATAATCCCGCCAGCTCGTCCATCCGCAGTTGGTTGGCTAGCGATGCTCCTTTCACCGCCTGCGGTTCTGGACCATCACCAACGCCCACGTATATCCAAGAGCTGCGGCGATGATTCCTAATTATTATTCTCGAGTTGATTGGGTTTATCTTTTTCTATGGTGGATCTAGCGTTTATCCTAGGATCCCGGTGCAAAGTCATTGGCCCTCCCCGGTCACCTGAGCCACGCAAAGTATACAACAATACAACCGGGCAACCCAGTAAGAGATGGACAGCGAGAGGGAAAAGGAACAAGACACATTAAATGAAATAAGGAATCTATGCAACCATGGAAGATGTAATTGTCACAGAAGCGCCCAGCCGGATGGCCGGCGTCGGCTAATAAGTACAGGTAATTCGAGGTTCTATCAATCATCCATTGTAGCAACGACCGTTTACTTGCGTTCAAAGTAAGTCCACTGTCCGGGTCTAGGTTTCTCTTCCAGCTCCTCCCAGCTGCAGATATGTCAGTTAAATGTAATGGTTCCAATGAGGAAGCGTATCGGAAACTTACGCCTTGGACTTGTACAGCGCATCCACCAGTTTCAGCTCACCCTCGGCCACTTGAATAACCTCCTCAATGAGGCCTGCGCCAATTTGCTTCTCAATTTCGGAAACCCTACAAATATTTCATCAGCATACTGTTCGCTATAAGCCGGATAAAGTGGGCCAACGTACTGCTCAGCCTCCAGGGCAGGCTCATTCTCCCACTTCATCTGGAGGTTGTGGAAATCCGAATCCGCTTCTGAAGCAGCGGAGGTACCCTCCTCCATGTCTTTCTCCCAGCGGGCCTGTTGTTCCGGTGTACGAGCAGGGCCCTCGGTGGTTGGTTCCAACTGTTCTCCATCCCATTCCTCTCCGCGAGGGTTATCGCTGTTGTCATCGCGCAAAGCACCGGCGTAAGTTCCATCTGCCTGGCGAAGGGATACGAATCGCTCAGGCTCGGCACCCACGGTCTTCCTAACGCGCTCCAACCAAGCGTCAAATCCGGGCGGCTTCGTGGACTCGATAATTTGCAGGCGCTGGCGGGTCAATGCTTCAGTGGACTGGCGATAGACTGAAGATTCAGGGAAAGCCTTTAGTTTCTGCAGCGTCGATGTGTAGAGGTAGATCAGGGTGGGACGAGGGCTTGGGTGTGTCTGCAGACCAGTCAAACCGGTCGGAGCGAAAGGCTCCAAATACCGGGCCGGTTTGACGCTGGCCAGCAGCCGAAGTGTAGATCGCATTGTGACCTAAGGGTTGTGAGGCAGAGAAAAGGAATTGACCCAAAAGGAAAGCCGACGGGGTTCTCTCTTGCAGCTGGGACACACAGGATGTGGTGAATCGGCCCAGGTTGAGGTTCCATCGGGAGGCGGAGAAACTAGCGTGTTGCAGCCTGAGGCAGTAAGGCTTCAACAGTCACTCTTCTGCTGGATCCCGTCAAGGAGACAGCCTCACTCCTGTTTATCCTAGACCCTCTTTTAAGTCTTTTGTCTGAGGGCGTGCGGGTGACACCGCAGATTTCTCGACATTATAGGCTCTTTCTTTATTAATTGACGCCTATCTGCCCCTACGTCACGGTTGTACGGCGCTTATCCTCTTAATCAACCCGCCTCTGATCTTCGTCCCCGAATGTGCCACCTTTGATTCAACCTAGACTCGCTCCCCTTCCCAAACTCTCGTTATAATTATACACACCACCAAGGCGTCGAGCCTTGAACCATCGCCAAAATGCGCTCGTCTCTTTTGACATGGTCATTAATCTCGCTCTTCGCGCTTCCCACCTTCGCCACTCCTGACCAAACCATCTCGGCGAAACGTCTGGTGAAAAGATCTGAGTCTGACAACTCGGCTTCGGCAACCACATTTTTCAATGGCATTGAGGTTCCGCCTATGAAGGAGCTTACTCCTGATAACTTTGATGAAACGGTCAAGGATGGATACTGGTTTGTCGCCATTCTCAACTTCCGCATCTAGCTTATATTGGTCCACGTTCTAATATGTCGACAGGTTCATCAAGCAGTATTCGCCCTCGTGCCCCCACTGCAATAAAATTGCCCCTACGTGGCAGACTCTATACGAGTTTTACTATGTGAGTGTCTAGATATGTATTTATGCTTTTCACAGCCTTAGCTAACCAGGGATAGACGTCCAACCCGCTAGCCTCCACTCAATCATCTGACACCGGATCTTTGAACTCGTTTGAGCGTTTCTACAACTTCCATTTTGCGTCGATGAACTGTCTGGCATATGGCGATTTCTGCAAAAAGCTGGATGTATTGCAGTGGCCGACATTCTCCTTCTATCATGATGGGCAGCAAGTTGAGCAAGTTGAGCGAGATCTGAAAAGGAAAGACATGGAAGTCTTCAGTGAATATATTGAAGAGAAGTTAGAAGCAATCCGGCCTGGGTCTCGCCCCGCAAAGGGCCTTAAGCTTCCTGAACCCGGTGCTAAAGGGGTCGATACGACGGCCGAGCCGGAAGCCCCCGCCGCCAAAGATAAGAACCCAGAAGCAGGTTCCAAAGCTGGTGAAAAGCACAATGACGAGGATACTCAACCTGTCCAACGAATACCGGAAGAGCCCTCTTCTGAGAAAGCTGCAACTCCGAAATCGAAGCCAAAGGTAAAGGCGCCGGTGAATCCCCAGGGAATTTCTGTCCCTCTCACCGCAGAAAGCTTCCAGAGGCTTGTTACTACGTCCAAGGAGCCATGGTTTATTAAGTTCTACGCACCCTGGTGCCACCACTGTCAAGCGTTGGCCCCCAACTGGGCGCAAATGGCCAAGGAGATGCAACATACCCTCAACATTGGCGAGGTGAATTGTGAAGTTGAACACAGGCTCTGCAAGGATGCCCGCGTTAACTCATTCCCAACCATGTACTTCTTCCGCGGGACAGAGAGAGTGGAGTACAATGGTCTCCGAGGCCTTGGCGATCTTGTCAGCTGGGCCAAAAGAGCTGTCGAAATCGGGTCTGGGATGATTGATGTGGATGCCGAGACTTTCAAGGAAATGGAGGACAAGGAAGAGGTTATCTTCTTGTACTTCTATGACCATGCAACGACCTCGGAAGATTTTGAGGCCATGGAACGCCTTACGATGCCTTTAATTGGACATGCGAAAATAGTGAAAACAGACAGCGCCGCTCTAGCTGAAAGATACAGGATTTCTACCTGGCCGCGCCTTCTTTCTGCGCGAAGTGGGCGGGCGAACTATTACAACCCCATAGCGCCGAAAGATATGAGGGATATTCGACAAATTCTCAACTGGATGCGGACTGTGTGGCTCCCCATAGTTCCCGAACTCACTGCCCTGAACGCCCGTGAACTCATGGATGGCAAATTCGTGGTGCTTGGTATTCTAAGTCGCAGCCGCGCTAATGAGTTTGAGGAGTCGAAGCGCGAACTGAAGAATGCGGCTCTCGAGTGGATGGATAAACAAGTTCAGCTGTTCCAGCTAGAACGACAGGAGCTACGTGATTCAAAACAACTGCGAATCGAAGAGGCGGAAGACCGCAATGACCAGCGTGCCTTGCGTGCAGCCAAGAATATGCACGTCTCCATCCGCGAAGACGAGAAGAAACAAGTAAGGTTTGCTTGGATCGACGGTGATTTCTGGGAACGTTGGTTAAGAACCACATATGGCATCGATGTGGGTAAGGGAGAGCGTGTCATCATTAACGATCAGGACAACCGACGTTATTGGGATACCTCTTCTAGCGGTGCTTCCATCATGGCTTCTCGCACCTCCATCCTCGAGACCATTCCTCTTGTCATTGCCAATCCTCCCAAAATTACACCTAAATCCACGATTGGCGTTTTCGAGTCAATCTTCTTCGTTTCATCTACATTCATCACTGGCCATCCTATCCTCTTCGCCATCATCCTCCTGGTGTCTGTTATTGGCGTGACATATGTCGCCCGCGGGAGAGGGCTCAAGCGCGGAGTCCGTGGCGGAATTCTCGGCATTGCTGGCAATGCTGGCGGCCTTCTCCATCTTGATGGCAAGGAGGGGCTTCTAAACGGAGGCTCAACCGGCAAGGTAGACTGATTTGGGGCGTAAGAGGCCTTGTACAGTTACGCACTTTGAGTATACATTGTTTATTTATTTTTTTCTTCTTATTTTCTCTTCCTGTGTTTTTTGATAATACTTGAATAAACTTGACTATTTACTGAATGACAGCGATATAAGCATGAATATTATTTTTCTTTCCATTTAGATGCTCCGTCTACTAACGTCTACTTGTAAAGAAGTAAACATTTCGAGCCGGTATCCAAGATCACGTGCTTATAATCTCGCGGCCGTTGATTGGCTGTCGGGCGGCAGAGTCTCCCGGTTTTCGTCGACTGTCGCGAATCCGGTCAACCTCGATTGTCTGACGTCCTCTGCTGGCAAGTTCCATTCCACAAGAACCACACAAAATGGTGCGTATTGCGAGGGCATATCGTTATGTATCATAAATTGCTAACATTCTGGTGACTCGGTTATAGTTCTCCCAAACTTTCCGCCGTGCCGCAGCTCAGTCTGTCCGGTCTCCCCTCGCGGGAAAGTGAGACTCCCCCGAAGACACACCTACCTCCTCTATCCCCAGACCGAATGCTTCCGATGTAGACAATGGACCAGTATAAGGCTTGACCATTCCTTGTGTGTTGTCGGTGTGGCCATTGGATACACAACACGCCACAAGATCCGGAGCCGGGCGGACGCCCTTAAGACCTTGATGGAATACATTGGATGCATAGATGCTAACTCGACATTTTTCATCTAGGTACTCCGTCGCTCCTCACGTCGCCGGTTATACCGTCGGTTCTGCCACTACGATGTGAGTGCCCAATGCTCCCCGGATTCCATATCAATTGTGCAACAGGAGGAACCCGGCTAACCCAATTTCTCAATCAACAGCGGAACCATCGCTGCTACCTTCGGTGTCAGCGCTGGTGTCTTCGCCCTCTTCTTCTTCGGCGAGGTCCCTCGTGTCCGCAAGGATATCCTCCAGAAGCTCCCCTTCTTCGACACCTACCTTGACCGAACCATTGCTCCTGAGGACAACGTACGTTTATCTGCCCCCCGCTTCCTTTTCCCCCTCAATGTTCTACTTGTTTCGGGGTTAAATGCTAACTCGACCATTTTGACAGCCTTTCTAAACGCTTTATCTCTTTGTCGCGTACGTCAGTCGGTCAACTATCTTATCGCGTTCCCATGCTCTCCCTGTGCGGATGCCGCTGCCAGACAATGGATAGATAGATGGTGTATGAGAGTGGTGTTTTATTCTGTAGAATAGCAATGAAGTTTTGTTAGCACATAGACTGTTCTTGGACCTGCTGGTGCTCATAAGCTGGGCTGTACACTAAATGTGAAATATCGACCGTAAAAGCACGTAACAGTTAAGATATCACATCATTCTGTGACATTCGAAAAACAATCTATACCCGGCCTATTTAATGCTAAATTGGAGTACTTCAACCGCTTTCCTAGCAGTGCATAATGCTTTGTCCAAGAGATCTCACTTGCGAATTATATTTATCTATGTATATATATATTCACTCTCTATCACCATACTCACGAGAAGCTCTTAACACCAACCATCTTACGGCTGCCAGAACAGATAATACAACGATAAATAGTTCTTTGGATACAAATAATTGGAATAGTCATGGGTCAAATCCCTACAGTAAAATGCACACAGTTAGGGCTCAAAATGCGAGAAGGGTAGTAGTTAACTACCAAACAAGTTAATGCAAGAGCACTATTGTTCAAAATACTGAAAACAATGTATAATAACACTTATCAAACAAAAAGCTAAAGCTTGGGTGATGAACGGCCCGACTGATCTGTCGATGCATCAGGTAGTGTAGCAGCATTTTGCTCCTGCTCTCCGTCAATAATATCGACTATATTTCCGTGTATAGCATGCTCCACGTTGACCTTTGGGCCCTTGAACCATTTGTGCGCATCAACCACCCACCAAATGCTTACTGCGAGCATCGGCCCTCCCCAGACCAAGCAAGTCCAATTCATCAGATCCGGCGTCAGGTTTGAGCCCGTGTCAGCTGGTAGGCACAGGATTGGCACCATGAGAAAAACGAACCCTACTCCAAACCCACCGATCCACGGGCTGAGCGGTCCTAGGTGCCATGGGCCTCTGCGAAAGCGGTTGCCGACGAAGAAAACGCGGATTGCAATGGGTATGGCAAAGGCAACGAATTGTGCAATAGCTCCAATGGAGAAAAGAGCACCGATAGCAACGTCACCGGCGAATAATAGAAGGCACATCAGGATCCCCAAGACGGCATTTAAAATGACGGCATTTACCGGGGTCTTGGTGGTATCGTTGACCTGCTTCCAGTACTTCGAAAGGGGGAAGCAGTCATCACGAGCGTACGCGTACGTCACGCGAGATGCCGCTACCATGCATCCTTGGCCCATAGAAAAGCCACACATAATTGTTAGTGAGAGAATCGAAAGCGCACCTTTCCGTGACATGACTTGGAAGAGATATGACGCCCATGGCTGCCCGAGATCTGAGTTCAGCACAGCATCAATATCTACCACGGTGTAGGCTACAACCAATTGCAAGAACCAACCCATGAGCCCACCGACTCCCGAAGTCATGACAATTGCGCGTGGAGACGCAATATTCGCATTGGAGCACTCTTCACTGAGGTGAAAGGGGGAATCATAGCCAGACATTGTCCAGATAACTCCCACAAATGTCATTAGGACTGCAACTCCATCGGGATAGTCAGTCATGTTGGTAATTGTTCCCCACACCTCTTTGGACGGTGTAAACTTCGGCGAGTTTATGGTTCCTGCAGGAATGGCGATGATGACGGCAACCAGCGCAAGCATGTTAAGAGTCGAGCCCCAAGAGTTAAACACTGCCACCCATTTTGTTGGCATACTGCTGATGACAGCGTGGACTATCATGATGAGGGTCGTGAGAAGAAAGGTCTGCCAACTTGTCGGAGTATAGCCTGGGCTCTGAATGGATCCTGCAGCGAGAATCATCGCGGCGAGAGCATAGTCTACCGATGGAGCAGCAGTAATCTGGCCAATCCAGTTGGACCATCCAGTGATCCATGCCGCATAAGGCCCGTATCCTGGGGGCGCAAGTACCGCGGCAGCATAGTACAACCCGCCGCTGCAAAAGTTAGCACGAGTGAGGCGCACAGTAGGAAGTTTTGGATCACGTACCTTGTAGGCATGGCGGAGCATAGTTCTGCCATGGCCAATGCAACACATTGGATGAATACCATGGCTATAATCCAGCCCCAAACCATCCCAGCGGTTCCTGCATATCCCATACCTGAGCCCACGAGTCAGCCCTGTTGAGTATTTCACCAAGCCCGGAATATTTACCGTAGTATATGGTGCTGGCAAACGAAGGAAGCAATCCCAATACCGCAAAACTGACACAGAATGTAGTCCATAGCGAGAACTCGCGCTTGAACTCCTGTTTGTATCCAAGAGCCGTAATAACCCGCTCATCGGCGTCCATCGAGTCGTCAAAATCAGGGACGTCTCCATTACGCAGGACGGAGGTGACAGGGTCATGCTCCGCGTCGTCGTACTTCAGCCCATCTGAGGCGGCCTTCATCTTGCCTGAGACTGACATGGTAACTCTCCAACTGCGGTCGCTTTCGATCAATATCGAAATGGCAAACAGACAAACTCCTCGGGCCACGAGTCACGAAATTTCAAAAAAGGGAGCCAGTCCGATCATGCAAGGAGTGGCGAAGCTTGCCCATATCCCTAGCTTGGGTAACACCAGGTGCATATATATGGGGGCAGCACAGGGTCGTGCATCGTTCCTCCAAAGACGGGGGTCCCCGATAGGGAGAGACGGTTCGTGATCATCTCGTTGATAACTTCGATACTGCCTTTGCGGACTGGGCGATAGGGAACTAGTACCCCGCCCGTCAGTCTCAGCTGCACATCTACCATGCCCAAGAGGGCAGGTTCAGGCGGAGGCTTGGACATGGCCGGGGAAAGCTTGGATTACTATTGAGGACGACGAATCAGAGGTCCAGGCTGATAAGCACACGCGATAAGAAGTATCTCTCAGTAATAGGTTCTGATTTGTAGTGAATACCAAGTGCATTAGGTTAATCGGTTTGATTCTGAGGATAGATTGAGGGGAGAGCCGCGGCTCCTTGTGAGGGAAGTCCGAGTCATTTGCAGGGAGTGTGATTGTTGTTGCTTTGTCCTACACGGAGTCCAAGCCAAGCCTCCTCTCACCACTACTTCGATCCTACACAATGAACGGACTCCGCAACCCTCATGTCTGTGCTTTTGTGTCATTCGCTCAAAATCCGAGTTTCCTTGCCAATGATCAATGGAAGGGCTGGGCTTCTTTTACCCGAGGGATACTATTCCAATGATCAACCTGATTCCTCGTTGGCCACTATTGTCGGAGACGCTCAGGATTTCTTTAGATACACAAGCGGACGATGGGTATGGAGCGAAGAGCAGTAGCTCCAAGAGAATTATAGCGAGTTCAACATTGCTAAGCTGCAAAAAGTCGCGATGGAATCCTCGGCAGGGCCCTGTGTCCGCATGGAGAAGATAGGCGAGGGATCATACAACAAGTCCTTTAGTCTCACCATACCCAGCAAGATGAAGGTCATTGCACAAGCTACGAATTCGAATGCAGGACCAGCCTTTCTCACTACGGTGTCAGAGGTCGTAACTATGGACTTCGTGAGTGATGTTACAAGGTAACCAGGAACGGACCTTCTGACTCACATCCAGTTGAGGAACGCCCTTCACATTCCGGTTTCCAAAGCTCTCGCTTAGTGCTCTAGGGTTGACTCTACTAACCCGGTAGGGGCAAAATACATTATCATGGAGCATGCCCCAGGTAAGCAGTTCGCTCTGGTCTGGCCGGATATGGGCCTCGAGCACAAGGTCCAGACAGTGGAAGATGTTGTGAGCATTCAAGAAAGATGAGTGTCTATGAGTTTCCCTAGGTAAGTGCTTAGAGTCCTACTGGATATAGCTCTTCGCGTCCACCTAGCTGTAACAGGTACGGCTGCCTTTACTTCAGCAAAGACGGCGACCAGGCTCTCGTCCCGCGGTGACCAGTGGGGACAATATATCGCGCGAGCAAAGAGATATCCTGGGTTGGTAACTGGCAGAGATCATGGGCTCGGCCCTTATGGGGGCCCTCCGAGATTGGAACATCCTTCCCTGTGTCAAGCCAAACATACTAAGAGGCACAAAGACGGGAACTCTTAGATCATCTAGGAAAGTGCCCGCTCGATTATTCTCCGGGGCAGATCTGCAGGCACTATAGAGACGCAGACGCCTGGAATGGAATACAGGACTTCTAGGATGAGATTCGGCCTGTCCTAGGAGAGACGGCCGGGAATCTCATGAGACATACGAAGCAGCAAAATCCATTATCCCCGAATCCAAAACCTTAGTAGCTTCGGAAATGGGAGGCTAAAAGGCTGACCTTGCTAGGGTATAATATATGATGCATTTGGACGATTTCAAACATCTTCCCTCACTTCCATACTCCGTCTCAGGCCCGATATATCGCTTGCGATATATGCTGCAGCCAGCATCATGCAACAGCACCATGAACCCAGATCTTCAAAGGAGAAACTTACAGATTTCATATCAACTGGTCGAATTCCAATACCAGAAACTCAGTATAGTAGATATATAACTATCACAGACTTACCTGAAACGATAAACCCAACCAAGCCAATGAAATCAGCATCCATCCAGCAAACCAATGGCAAGAACCAGACCACCCCCATGACTTCTTCAAGAAAGCCCTCTCACAAATTCCCCACGTAGCCATGGCCAGTTCAACGGCCAACCCACATCACCAGACCCCAGGAAGGCAACCAAATCTGCATACACTTTGGACACATGCATAAACAAACCTTCCCCAGTCCTGCTGAAAGTTAAATTTAGATCTACCAACTTAGAAACAAACCTCGATCCATGAGATCGATACCTAAAATCGAGGGACCCGCGAGAGCTTCGGTCAATGGCCACTGACTGGTCTCTTGTATGGAGAATCAACAGCTCATATGCAACGCGCTGCTTGCATGCATTGGGCTTGGACCTCTCCAGGGCTCCACCGACATACATCGAATTTCACTAACGCACGTCGCAGCAAGAGCTGGTGCCTTGGTTAATTGGGTTGTCGGTCTTTCCGTCTTGTCTTTTCGTGGTTTAGTGGCTTATGTATCGTTTGTTACAGACTTGCAGTGGGCCAGTGGTGGGATGTGAGTATTTAGTAGGTAAGTAAAACACCCGACTGGACTTCACTCAACACGGACTTCCCCCGCAAAACGGTCCTTAGTACCCCAGCGGCAGTATCGTCTCTACGAAAGTAGTAAGTACGCAGCACGGTAATCACCAAAGCGAGAAAAGCCCACAGGCTCGAGGTCGAGCATCGGAAGCACGGAAACAGCCCGCGGCCCGGGCAGAGTCGACCAGCGCAGCGCAGGAGCGTTCCCACTTCCCATTCTCCATCCGCGAGGTGCAGGAGAACTGGAGCTCGGATTCTCCGTCTCAGATCTCGGGCTCGACCTTGTCTCCGCTGGTCCGGGTCCTGCTTAGCACTTAGCAGTGCTCCGGAGGAGTACGTACGTACTTAGTGGCGGAGTTGATTATTGAAGGGCAGTGCGTTGTTATCGTATCGTATCGCATCGTATGGAGTTTCGGATTAGATCTCGGCTAGATACATCGGTGTGTTAGCTCTGCTGTAGTAGTCCCCTGTGCTGAGATTGTATGTATATATACCTATATAAATGGGGCGCATGTACAGAGATCGATTTTGGGACTAGAGCCTCAGGCTCATAGCCTCGCTCATCTAGTCGATAAGTAGATTGGTTCTCGATACTCTCCTCAGATTAGAAAGTATTTGAAATGCTGAGGGAGTTGGGAGGCTCATCTCCCCGCGAAACAAGGGGCGAGAGCTTGGATATGGGTGCCTCAGCATCTCAAAACAACAACATACAGGAAAACAACATGACGACAAACCCACGCGGCCGGAATTATATTATATTAAGGACCTCATTACTTAATGACGATTATAATATAGCCCCTGTAAAATGTTGTTGGAGGTCGGAGCTGTTGGTAAACAAGGCCATAGTATCCGGAGAGGATTCGTTCCAGGACAGCTTCTAGAAGGTCAGTTCCCCACCTCGCGCTGTTTCAACGACCGCCAGTGCTTAGCAGGAAACAGTTAGCACAGCCGTGTCAAAGTATAGCGCTGCCTACTATAGCTACTTAGTGAGGCGGGCAGCAGGCCTAAGCAATGCCATTGTTGGATTCCTGGGGCCAAATTGGGAGCAGGAGGGGCCGTGGTCCCCTGCTCTCAGGTGTTTAACTATTTAGTTCCAATTCCAAGGCGACTTGTCGTTTACTAGGCGTCCCGCGATGCAGGAACCAGGGTCAGCACTGCGTTGTCTCCTGCAGCGCCAGCCCGCTTTTGCACTTTGTCAGTGTGCCCAGTGGCAGGGTGGCTAGTGTATCCGTAGACTGTGGAGGAAACAACACATAGAGAGCCAAGAGCGAAAACCTGAAAGTGGTGAAATTAGCGAGGGGAAACGGGATGTGAAGTGAAGGGCCCGTCTCGCGGTGTATGAAATTACTACGGTGGTAGTCTAGGCATACCTCTCAAAACATTTGCTCCTTCGGGGTGGCTTCGGAGTCGGAAAGGCCTTCATTTGCCGAGCGGCCATCCATATCGCGACCTTGTGTTCCCTGGAGCCGTGTCGTTGACGATCTGTCCCGACTATGGTATCGAGGACGAGATTAGCTGTTCAACATCTCCCAGCACTCAGATAGGCTCCTGGGTCAACGTGCAGTGTTTCTGGCCCATGGTCAAGTACCGATGATAATGAACAAGGCGCACGGTGTGGTAGAGTACACTGTAGGAGGTCGAGCACGTACTCTCTAACGTAAGCCACTGACTCCAACGACGCCACCAACACGTCTGCAATGTAGTCTTAGAAGCATACGACACCTTCAGCTGAAACCACGAAGGAATGTCAGACGCTCTAAACTTCGGGATAGGGTGCTAGGGTAGACCTTCTCGATTCGTTCATTCTGCCGCGGCAGACGAGACCTTTCTCGAAAATCGCGCACATTGCTCAAAGTATCAGGGGAGAGGAAAAGGAGAAAGGAGATGGATGCAACGGCACTGAAACCGGATGCGATTGCGAAAAAGCTATGCCAGTTCGTGAGCCGTGTTTGTTGGCTGATCTCGCCGTAATCGCACCGCATAGACACACTACTCTATCATGCTATATTATGCGTATCCGCGTGACGGTACATATCTGATAAAAGGTAACTCCAAGAGTCCAGACTTCAAGGTACTCAACAAATGCGCGTAATATGACATGCGTTGTTGTTGTGCTGCCTGGAGATCTAGACTCGCAATTATTAATAGAAAGCACGGTGAGGGGTTTCATCAACACGGCCTGTAAACAAGATCTTGCCAGAAACTTGCCACTATAGTCGATACGGTGTACGATATCAATCTCTTGTTCGCACCAGTTCGCGACTCGCCGGCCTTGCTCACCCATTCAGCAACCTGAGCGGCAGGATCAGGTTCCTTCGATCAGCAATCCTCTGTTGAATTGTTGAGTTGATCGCATCGTGACCGCGCCAAGTCGTAATGAGAGAGGGTGTGCCACCTGCCAATCATGGGCCAGCAGAGCGCCAACTCAAAAAAAAGGTTTCGAAAGTCTGGCTCAGACCATGCTCACGCTTCGAGTGCATGCAGATGAGGTGTGTGGCGTTAGAACAAACCGTATGATTGGCCTCCAGCGCTCCTGAGACTGGAACGAACCAGACTTGACTTCGGCCTTCCTCCGTCCAAGGCCGGAAAAACGTCCTCGGAAGACCAAAACTCGAAAAGTGCCGAGGCAAGTATTCATTTTGATGCCCGCATTCATTCCGCTCCTTTCCAGTGATTCGCTGATCCAGATTCTTGCTGGAGCAAGGCGATCTGCACGCTCGAAGCAGGCCTTCCAGGAGTCGAAGCGCCAAGCCGAAACAGGTAAGTGGGAGGACAGCGGCGGAAGTCTCCGGCAAGCCCGACAGCAACAGAGGGGACTCTGGAAGCCAGGAAACTCTCCGATATCGACAGTACGTCTTGCCCGCCAGCCACTGTGTTTCTTGTCCTCTGCCACGTATGAGGTTTTTTTTGTGATTTGTAATTGGCGAGTGCGCGGTCAAGTTACGTAGCATGTCGTCTGGAACTACTGAAAAGTCAAAATTCAATTGCTCGTTTAGTTCACCCGTGTAAGTTTATCTCGTGGGAAAGCCAGAGAGCATCATATGAAGACGAAAGGTTAGTGAGCGACACTATAAAAAAACCCGGGGCCAAGCTTCAGGAGGAGCGTAAATAGTGATCCACACGGACAATTCTTCACGCTGCAAAGTGGAAACCTGGGAGCTCTCCTGGACCCGTATTGTTGCTTCATGCCTCGAGGCGATGATCCGTTAAGCGCGCAGAGGGAGCACAACGCAGCCCATCAAGGTTAGACAGCACCGGCGAGGGGACACCGCCTGGATGGGCTTCTCCCGTCGAAAATTCCATGAGCGGGCCATCGGCTTCTCTGGTGGAGCTGTCCAGCCGTGATCGGACCGCCACATTGGGCGAGCTGCAGGGGGGGAAAGGAGGCCAGAGGCAGCAGATAGGCCCATGGACTCGCTCGTGAGGTTTGAGAGTTTAACCAACCCTTGGCGGACTCCAACGTGAAGACCACGATATCCCAGAGAGGCAGTTCCCTGGAACTGGCCACACAAGTGGCAAGTAGGGCGAGAAATGAGATTCTGCAAGGAAGTTTGCAAATTCCGACCAGCGGGCGATGATAGTCGAACTCAAGCAGACTCGAAGGATCAAGGATCAGTTGATGGTCTTGTGACGTGCAAACCCTTTTCTGTCCGCTGGGAAGAAATAGTGGGATTCCATGATCCATCAGTCCGACCGGGTGGCTGACGAGTCGATAGTGAGGTCTTAGGACGCCGAACTGGGGAAACCTTCCTTTCCGGGTCTGGTCGTTCCGTGCTTTGCCGGCCGGTGGCAGTCGTCTTCTTGCTTTGTAAGAAATCGGTCATCTCTCAGCTCAGCTTAATTTAGATGCCTGCCTACAATTCAGGGAACTTTGTGGTGGCGGCCGGTTCGACCTGCCATGATACGATATGATATGATATGAAGGTATGAACTGGCCATGTCAGATAAGCTGCAAATGAGCCCACCATAAGCCCCCGGGCGATGGTCAAGGCCCACTATCGAAACGGGAGAAGCTCCCTGCGAAAATCCGCGGTGGAGCTCAGCCGCCATCCCTTCCAGGAAACTCGTGGCTTGTCCACTCAGCGCCTGCAGAGGCGAGGCGAGCAAAGGCAAATTGAAGTTTGGGATATCGCAGAGTTTTCCAGAACCATGGATGGAGGATGTTATTCTTCACGAGGTCTTGTTTGGAAAAAGTACCGCAGGCTTTTAGCAGGGCGTGGCAGCAGTGCATTTGAAATGGACTAGAGCTGCCACATCCCGTCATCACACATGGTGACATGAGACATGAGAGCAGCTAAGCCGAGAGAACTCGTCACTGCGAAGAATTCCCAGCGCCACGGCTTACGCGAGTCGCCTTCCGCGTCCCTGGGCAATCGAAATGAAGGGTGTGCGTGGAATGCTTGCAAATTCTTTGTTCGATGGTCGTAATCTGCAGGTATCGTAAAGCAGAGTGTAATATGTAGACGGTCAAATGTGTAAGGAGCACCCAAGATATATTTCTGACGATGAGTTTTAGCTACGTATTACCATGCGCGTTCATCGCTGGGTGGGTGTGACAGACTGTTAGACTCAAAATTGAGGCTGCCTGGGCCGAGAACAACACCGCCAGATGCGACACGTGTCTGCTCATATAGAATCAGAACATCAAGGCAGACCTTTAAGGTCTGAGAGCTGACATGGCGGCGATATGGCATCTACTGGAGTACAAAGATTAAGCTTAACGAGATGTATCCACAGCACCCATTCGAGTTGTGCAAACCCGTGCCTGGATCTCCAGATTGATCCTGGCGTGGAGTCAAGTGGGCATGAATGATGTGCTGCCAACCTCAAATCTCGACTCCTTCACTTCAGGGCCTCTCCACTCCCCAGTGTGATAACTCTGATAAGGTTGTCAACCCCTACTTGGAGATGTGGACTTGTGGATGTGCCATGAGATCTGATGGACCAATATTTGGCCAGCGGAGACTGTTAACTGCGGAGAAATGGTGCATGAATCCGAGCCCTACGGGACGGCTGATGGGGTGAAGGATTCTGCAGAATGCACTGTCCATGGAGGGCAGATACTGCAGCTGCCGGATGGCTATGAATCCAGCATAGATACCAGCATTGGACGACAGCAAAAATACTCTGGAAGCATCAAGGAGACAACGAGAGAATAACAATCCAAGCAGCCAGGTTGAAAACAGCATCAAAACTCAATGGCGACGGAAGACCACTCGGAAACTTAGCTAGGTGCTGCACACCCCGGCGTCCTTTCCATCCCGCTTCCCTGCTGCATGGATGTGAAGGGCCAATAAGCAGGGCTGCTCCCATCCTTTGCGAGTTGAAGCCCGTACTGTAAGATCGTGACGATGGGGGGGATGTTTCAACTGGCAGCTCGGACGGAGGGGTGACTCCTGCAAGAGACCATCGGTTCCGCTTGCGTCAGGGCGTGCCAATAGTAATACCACCAAAGAATACAAATCACGGTTGAGCAGATTCCGATTGACGATGCGATTGCTGGATGCGGGAAGCTTCGTCGAAGTATCATGCCCGTCTTCGGCACACGTCCTCCGTCCTCCAGCCACCTCTCACGGGCAAAGACGGCGGCTTGGAGATGGGCGTCAAAAGGATTATTTACGGAATTATCAAAGCCGAACGGACTCAGCCAACCAAGAGGGAGACTAGCCGGGGTGCAGGCTGCAGACCGCATGTAGCCAGGAGATAGCTCAGTGATCGCAGACATTTTCCCCTGTTTGCCGCTGCTGCCAACCAAATAACCAAATGCAAATTCCCTTTTTGCCGGGCAATGTTCGGAATTGGTTCGTCCCAGCGTGTTTTCGCAGCCGGGCTTGTCGGTTTCTGGGCTAGCTCACTGCATCGCTCTGCATCGTAAGGTAGACCATCGTGGCGAAACAACGATACCCTCACCCAGACATCTTGTAGGAGAGTGAAAAGGAGCTTGAAATCGTCCTTGTTGAACGAGCTGGAACAGAGCCCAATTGACGCTCGGCCCAGCGCTGGCACTCGGAAACCGGAGGGAGTCGTGAGGCACGAATCAGGGCCCCGGCAAGCTCGACACCGTTGGGAGAATCAAATCATCATCAGCTTCCATTCAGCAGCAAATAATTCATATTTTTTGTCCTCTTTTCGTTAATTCGCCTCCCCGAGTTACGATCGTCACCGCTCTCTTTTCATTTCTGTGGCCGCCTCCCTCCTCGCCCTCCCCTGTACTTTTTCAAGTTCTTCGTCCTCTGGTCCTCCCCTAATTTTCTTCCGCCCTTCTCCGTCCCCGACTCAGGTCGCCTCCCCTCTCCCTCCATTCCCGTGGAAGTCCTGCCAGCTTTCCCTGGCTGCCCTCCCTGCCGAATTTCGTCGCTTTTATTCTATTTAATTTTCCTTTTTAGAATTTTTTTTTGCAAAAAAAAAAAAGAAAAGAAGATTTTTTTTTTTTTTACTCGAGACCAACCTCTCGTTTCTTTTTCCTCCCACCCCCTTCCTTCTTCCTACTCTTTGATCTCCGCACCTATACGCGCCTGTCCCTGGCTAGATTTACTCCGTCAAACGAATTATCCTGGTCGATATCGCGCACTGTTGACGCGAAGCAGAAATTGGCTAGCAATCTTCCTTGACTGCTGGAGTGACTAAGACCCACTTACACGCCGGCTTCTCTTGGTGGATCACAACCATCTTGTGTTTTGACAACGTGCCGACTGCGGATAAAAAGAAGTTCCCACACTCTGATTTTCCTGGTGGATGACCGTGGGGACCTCAGATTAAGCATCTCAACCTGTCCTGGCTTTCTTCTTCTCAGTGGAGTCGCTTGAGATCCTGTACAGCACCATTGTCGCCCTGACGCCGCATCGTCGAGAGTCAGCAACTCTGCTCATCGTCGATTCTTTTTGATCCAGCATCTCCCTGCCTGTCGTTTTCGAGAGCCCGTCCCGGTGAAGCCGAATAAAGTCGTGTCGCAAGGAAAATTCTGCACAAAACTCGGCACGAGAGATTTGAGAAGACACAAAAAGAAAACACTTCGTGGGAAAAATTCTTCGAGGACGCGACCCGTGAACGTCTTCGAGTGTACAATCTCTCTGGCACGTTGATTGAGTGCTCCCCGCGTCAAAAGACATCCGGAAAGAAGAGATTTTTTTCGTCTTACGATCAATGATCGGGATACCGTGAAACTTTTCTTCGCGCCAGTTCCCAGTCCCTGTGATCTCTTCCCCATCGTTCGCACCTTGTTAGACGCGTTCTCCGCTTCGTGATGGATCCTAGAAATCATCCTTCCCGGCCCCCATCGACCAGTTTACCTCAGGGATCCACGCCTCTATCATCCGCGCCCATCTCGAGCATGCCGATGCCTCAATACACGATGCAGCCTCAGTATCCGGTTTCTCAGCCGCACACCCTGCCCCCTCTCCAGCCGCATCACAGTCAATCGCCGGCTCCCCACTCCTACATGGGTCAGCCACCATACCGCCCTGATATGAACAGGTACCCGGCGTCAAGCCATGATGTGTACGCGTCGTCTGCTGCGCCGATAATGCCTCACACCAGTGTGGGTAGCCTGCCTCCCACGTCTTTCCTCTCCCACCCAAACCCGCAGGCACAGCAGCCGTCGCAACACTACCCCCCCCCTCACAGTGTGCTCCCACCTGCATCGAGTGCTCAGACGTATCCGCAGCCAATTGCGCCGGCGCCTCCCCGGGATCGCCGTGCTGATTTCAATGGCGTTCCATCTGGTGCATTCAGCTTCAATGATGGAAAGCCTCAACATTGGATGGGCGCGGACCCAGTCGCCGCCAATGGTGCTGCCTACCCTGGAAAAGAGTCCCCTCGAACTCAGGTCGTTGGGTCCCAGGGCCGACGCGGTATTCTCCCAAGTGTGCCTGGTCGCGCGACTCCGGTTACCAATGGTGTCAATGGCACAGCCAAGAACACTACGATTCCAGCCAAGGATGCAGACGGGAAATTCCCCTGCCCGCATTGTAACAAGACCTACCTTCACGCCAAACATCTGAAGCGTCATTTGCTGCGCCGTGAGTATTCCTCTTTCCATACAATTCTAAATTTTGCGTTTGATTGCTAACAAGCTTTGCGCCACGTGACAGACACTGGAGACCGCCCATACATGTGTGTTCTTTGCAAGGACACATTCTCTCGCAGTGATATCTTGAAACGCCACTTCCAAAAGTGCTCAATTAGACGTGGTAACCCCACCGGAGCAACTCACTTGTCGCACCCCAACGCGCATGTCAAGAGGTCACAACAGCAAGCTGCGGCAAATCCTGCAAAACCTGTCCAGGATGAAGTCAGTAGTAATGTCCCGCCTCCCAATGGCATCCCGGGTACGACTTACGGCGAGGGAGCCGTAAACGGCAATGGATTGGCTCCTGCCCGACCTGGGTACGCAGATCACCAGACTATGGGCTTCCCAATGTCATCTGTCAATGGGATGGGCCGTGGTCAGCATGAAGACGCGTTTCCCGGTGGTCGTCCGCATCAAGGAGCCCCCTGGCCAGCAGCTCCCAAGCAGAGCCCGTATCTCGTGCAGCCGGGTGCTGACCCCTCTGGTCACCAGTTGAATATTGACCGTACTCCCCTTGAGCAGGTAAAACAACCGGTTGTTCACGAACATAAGCGCCCTGTGATGCCTGGACATCCCGGCCACGAGCTCGACTGGACCACCATGTTCCAACCCGGTGCCCCCGAAGGTTACATGAACCCCGTTTTCTCCCAGTCTATGCCTGGGGGCCAAGAACCTATCCACGCTCATGTTGATGCCGAGCGCAAGTACTATCCCACTACCACCGCCGGTGCCCAGGAGGGTGGAATGAATGGCCTGTACATGGCTTCGACTATGGGTGGTGACGGTAAGTAGCTAATAATGTGGCGAACAAAAGACTATAATTGATCAGTGGCTGATCCGCGACTTTAGGTACTGTTCAGCCCGCCAGACCATAGAAACAGATTGAAGTCGACGTTTGGGAGTCACCGTGTGTCCTGTGTTCTACTCAGGTTGGGTTGTACATTTCCACAAAGATCTCTTGCCAATTAAATGACGTGGTGCTCCAACTACACGACAAAAAGAGGTCGAATTACTCAACGGAGTTTGCTCTGGAACGCGTATTCTCGACATGACATTTTCGAATTCAGCAATACTCAGTTACGAACAACGATTTCTCTTCTGCGGGTCATCTGGTTAAATTCGTTTCCTTTTTTCTTCATCTTGTCCAAAATCTTCTCAGCATTTTCCATCGGTCAGGTAACTAACCAATGGTACGGGGTGTGGTTTATCCGGCGTCCAACTATAGACTCGGGCATGTTATTGTGTTTGCGGCTCTGGTTCCTCTCGTTTTTCTTTTTTTCCAACGCGGCCAAAGTATCTTTCTTGCGAAAGGCTTCTGTCCACTATCGGTTCCGTTCGCGTGTCTATCTTGATCATCTACAGTTGAAATCCCAAGGCGCACGCGACGGCTGGGGTGTGTTCGGGTTTCATTTGCATAACCTTACGGCCGTTCTCCAACTCGCATACTATTTATTTTCCGTTCAAAACGATGTAAGTAGGTCTGTATCTTCAGGTCGGATATAAGTGCTTGTGACCTCGGGAGAGTTGCTGTTTTCCATGTTATACAATTCTCTCTGCTTCTCTGTTTTCTGCGTCTGTTACATGTTGTTTCTGTATGTTTATTTACGGTCTCCTGTCTCTCCGTCTGCCCTTGCGAAGGGTGTGACTTCTGTTCAACGATTACATACGTCCGCGACCGGCGGCTTTTGTGGGATCCGACAAGAGCTGCGAGTGCTGCAGTTTGTCTTTTGAAGACTGGTGCACCTGTTTTCTCGTGTCCTGATACACACTCCGGTCTACTTGCGAGGGTTTGATACGTCAGATGTTTATGCATCATTACGTTCTTGTTTCATTTTGCAGTCCTCTTTGCACGCATTTCTTCTGCCGTCAGGGCTCGGACGCAAAAGCCAAGAAGGCCAAAAGCTACCTAGAATATAGAGCGAAATCCGAGAGAATAAGAATTACATTATAGATCTTTTTAAAAAATGTCATACGGTGCTATCAGACCATCTGTCATCCATAGTGGGATGTGTTATTATTATTATTGTTATGACTGTTGGAGCGCCGTTCATCCGGGATCCGAGAATTCCCTATAGCCGGCTATGCGAAGGACGACCCCTCATGCTCGGGCAAAGATTAAATTTATAAAAAGAATAGTTCCCTGGATAGTGGACAGTTCATCGCCTGGAGAACCTTGAAGCCAACGTGGGGGTCCACGGTCTTGAACGTCACCAGCGCCGAGGATATCAGCAACCGCTGATTGGTTGGTTGCCACGGGTTCAGTCGGGGGATTCAGGATAACTTTTACAACCTCGTCCAACTCCTGAAGTCATCGCTCCTCCCACTATACTGCGCTCGCTCCTCTCTCCCGTCTCTTGTTTAATTACTCCCTCCCCCCCAAGTTTGCGCTTGGAGCCCTCTCCAACCACCTCCGCATACGTCTGCCCCGCAGCGATCCCCCGTTGTACTGCCTAGTACCTTCCGATAACCTCCCGAGCGACCTGTGATCGACCCTCACCCATCCACTCGGCTTGTCTCTATCTAACGCCATCCTATCTCCCCAGCTCTCTTACTCCCTTTACAGGGTAGAGTAGTCACATCCAACCAGAATGTCGACGAACCGACCCTTCCTGGCGAACTTCCTAGCCGCCTTTCGCGCCCAGTCAACCTACAAAGCATCAACCGCGGGCTCCCAGTCCGCCACCGGCTCCTCATCTCTATCCCCGTCCCAGATCTCGCAAGGCGCCCGGGCGATAGCTACAAAGGCCGCTTCCTCAGCATCAGCATCATCAACATCATCTCCGTCCGCGTCCGCGTCTGCAAATGGCCAGCCGACATCTGAAACACATCACTACCACCACCATCACCACCAACCCTCACGACCACACTCCCACACCCGCACGCCGTTGAGCTCGCACCCACACCAGCCTGCAGCAGATTACTCGTCACCTTCTTCACCGCCGAGTTCTTCGTCAACGCCCATTCCTATCACGAACACCCAAGACCGCCAGCGCCGCGGAAGCGATAGCTCCAGCGGCTCAGGTGGTGGGTTCCGAGACGCCCTTGGCCCCGAGAAATGGTATATCGGTGGACGGACCGCGGCCGGTGAAGAGAGGTTTTACCGGCTGGGGATGGTGACGACGGGCGGTGGACGATTAGGAGGCAGTGGGAGGGTTGGGAGCATTGACCAGTTGAGTTTGTGATGATGTCTAATGCTCTCTCACAAACCTGCTTGATCATGCTTGCCGGTCATATTTTCCTTTCTTTGCTTTTTGAACTTGAAAAAAATGTTTTAGCAACCTTTGCCCTGCGCGGCTATGAAATGACTTTGAACTGATAAACCAAAATTTACGACCGGGCTGGATTTGGCGTTCTTTCTTCTCAGCTGGGCATTTTGGGGCGTTAGATGGTATCTCTTACTTACTTCAGTCGGTTTTATTCCTCTTTCTCTGTTTTGAGTGGATTGGAGTTTTCATTTTCTTTTTCTTATGGATGGTTAGGTTGGTGATTTGATATCTTTTGAAGAAAAAAGAACATGTACATGAGATCCAGGTCTGTTGATATTTGACTTGCAAGAGCGTTATGCAGGCTTGACTTGCTCTAGCTTCATCTAACTAGGTTAGGCAATGCAGGTCACATCATCTTGGGCCATTTGTCTGCCTTTTATCTGTTTATCTACCTTGATGACTGAAAAGTATAGATACAAATACAACACGCTACTTCACTCCTTCATCATACTTGTTATATTCCACTATTTTTGCTTGACCGAACTCAGTAAGATATGTTTGACTTTTGTCTATCCGTACAGTACACGTATAGAAACCGAACGCAAAAAGTCTCGGCCTATATAGCAATCAGGCAGACAAGCAGGAAGGTAAGTAGGTAGGTAGCCAGCTACCTAACATTGCCTACTTACTTCCCCCGGTGGAGAGGAAGAGGAAGACAACAGCCCTTCCCCTTCCTCCCCCTCAACATCCCTAGCCCTACCGCCATTCCTTCTCTTCGTCTCCCCACTCCCCATCCTTAACCCTAAGCAACCCGCCAACCTCTCCAACAAAGACGACTCTGACCCCGACTCGGAGGCTCTAGCCTCACCCAGCGCCAACATTCCCCAACTCGTAACAAAGCACAACACACCCAGCGAAATGCCCATAGTGCGCCATCCAAACCGCCACTCCACGAACCCGCCCCAGAGCGAGCCAAGGAACATGCCGAGGAATTGGGCCATTGTTTGGATTCCGAAGGCTTGGGCGATGCCTTGGACTTGGTTTTGATAGCCGTGGACATGTTTGGGCCGGTTGGTTAAAGAGTTCTGGGGGTGAGATTCGTTCTGGTCCTGCGCGGGATGGGCCGAAGATGTAGTAGAGGAAGATGGAGATGAGCGGCTCTGCAGCTGGGCTAGGACATCCTGGGTTTCGACGAAGAGGGCCGGCGTGGCGAGATTGATTAATAGTCCGATTAGGGTGAGGAGGATGAGGAAGAGGGTGATTTGGACTGGGGTGTTTGTTGATATGAATGCTAGGAAGATGAGAGGGAGCGGGAGAAGGATGAAGGAGGCGAATGTAGGGAGGCGTGGGCCATGAGTGTCTGATATGTAGCCTTTTTTTTTCGTATACATATGTTAGTATACCTTTACATTATTTGGACAGACTAGATAGGGGATGGCAAGTGTGTACCGAAGTATGGTTCCAGAAGGGCGGTTAAGGCTGATGGGAGGAAAGAGAGACCTGCGCCTAGGGCTGTCCAGTTGAAGGTTGCTTCGACGAATATGGGGATTGTCTGGGATGGTTAGTGAGTTGGTTCAGAGTGGGGGGATAGAGAGGCCAAGCGTACGGCGTCAAAAGCGGAGAATAGGAGACCCTGAACGAGGAGGCCGAATGAAGAGATGACGACGCGAGGTTGTTTGGCTATTTCGAGAATAGTCGGGGGCTTATAGTCTTGCGAATGCTCATCACCCTGGGCCTGCTCGTTCGTGGATTCAATTTCGGACAGGTCTCTCGGTGGCTGAGTAGTATCTGGGAAGGTATGATAGCCACTAATTTCTCGGTCAGGTAAAAAAGGAGATGAAGGAGAAGAGTCAAAAGAGGAATCAATCCACTTTGCTGCCACTTTCTTCTCAACAATCAGCACACGCATTAGTAAATCCACGCCAACGAGGGCAAATGCCAGTCCAAAGACGGCTTGATATCCCGCCGTATCATAGATAATCCCACCCAAAAGTGGGCCAAGCAGGAACCCAAGTGCTATAGCTGAGCCTTGATAACCAATCGTCTGTCCTAAATTATCAAGAGGAACAGAGTCTGTAAGGAGGGCCAGCCCCGCAACAGCAACCATTGCAGTTGCACCGCCTTGTAGGAGACGCGCAATGACAAACATAGCTGTGGACCGGGCGGCAGCCAGAAGGCCCATTGATGCGCCCAAGAATATCAATCCGAGCACATAGGGCATACGCCGCGTGGGGGCAACATCAACGATGTACCCGAATACAGGACAGCTTATGAATGCGACGCCAGCTTCGCACATAAGAAGGACGCTGACCCAGTATTCCCCTGATGTTTTTAGCCTTTTTTGGTGAATATTAATTGACGGAGAGGCGTACGGTCTTCATATGGAACATCCGCCCGCTCGGATAGTGCTGTTGGCAGGATGGGGACAACCTAGGACATCAGCCGAGTTTGTAGTTGCTGGACAAGGTACTCTCACCATTGCATAGAGGAAGTAATCCTGCCATAAAGCAATGATTAGCAAGTCCTCCAGAGATTTTGCAATTAAACGTACCGTGAACGAGGAGATCCAGACCGTCGCGATGATAAACACCGTCGAGGAACGGAAGCGCAGCAGCCAGGGTGGACCCTGCATTGCTTGCATAGTGGGATGTTTTTTGAGGATTTAAAAAGTTTTCCAAAAAAAAAATAAACAGTCGGATATTAAAGAAAGCCCAACATTCTTGACGACCCTTGCGAATTCGCGGGATAAGTGCATGAGCCAGGAACAAATGCGGGAGTGAAAGATCGCCGCTAAGTTGACGACTGACATCAGTTCCCCACCAACAACTATAAATCCCGGCGCAGCTCCAGCTCACAGCACGTCCGTTCACCAAGCTCCTCTCTCCTTACTAGCCAGGAAAAACCCCGACAATGCCCTCCCCACACCTTCAATACCTCCAAAAGTGCTTATCCCTTGCCGAGAAGTCTCCTCCGCGCCCCACAAACTTCCGCATCGGCGCCCTCCTCCTCTCCCGCAAGGATGGCGACCTCAGTACCGAACAGGATGAGCTCCTTTCTACGGGCTACACAATGGAACTAGCCGGCAATACCCACGCCGAGCAGTGCTGTCTATCCAATTACGCATCTACACACTCAGTTCCCGACGAGCGCATAGCAGAGGTGCTCCCCGACACGCCGGGCCGCAAACTAGTCCTCTATGTGACCATGGAGCCGTGCGGGAAGCGACTCTCCGGTAACCTACCGTGCGTCCAGCGGATCATTCAGACGAAGGAGAACGGGCGGAGGGGCATTGAGAAGGTCTATTTTGGGGTAAAAGAACCTGAAACCTTTGTAGGGCAGTCTGAGAGTTGCAGGCTGTTGACAGAAGCGGGGATTGAGTGGAGAGTGGTGCAGGGGCTGGAGAGGGAGATTTTAACCGTTGCGACAGCGGGGCATGAGAATAGGGAGGAGGAAGTGAAGGCGGCGCTGAGCCATGTGGAAACGAACCTGGATGACGTGAGTGACGACGAGAGGCAGAGACAGGCGCAGACGAAGCGGAATCCGAAGAAGCGGATGATGGAGGTGCCCGGGCCTAGGTAGAGGAATAGACACTAGATGTATCCGTTATTCTGGGGAGTGAATGAACTGTATAGCGTGCTTTGTGCTGTGCGTTGTTGGGGTGCTCCGCGCCCGATAAGATAAAGAGCTGCGGGCTGCGGCCGGAAAGAGCTGCGGGCTTCGGAGGTGGCCGATGCTTCTCGTCAGCCCATCTTTTCGCCGTTTGCCTATCCCGGCTGCTTTAAAGCCGGCGATCTGCTCTTGGAGCTATTGTCGCCCAGTTATTTGCTTAGAATTCGATTTATTTCCCTCCTGCCTCGCCGTCTGCCCGTCGCCTTCTGCCATGTCTACTGTTGCAGCCGCCCGCTATGGCAAGGACAATGTCCGAGTCTACAAAGTCCATCGCGACCAAAAGACCGGGGTCCAGACTGTGGTTGAGATGACCGTTTGTGTCCTGTTGGAGGGTGAAATCGATACTTCGTGAGCTCCATCGCTTCCATCATACTCTCTATAACTGGAGCAAAAGCTAATATAGATCTGGCGACAGCTATACCAAGGCCGATAATAGTGTCATTGTCGCAACCGACTCAATCAAGAACACCATCTTCATCCTAGCCAAGCAGCATCCCGTGACACCCCCAGAGCTCTTCGGATCCATCGTCGGCACCCACTTCATCAACGAGTATAAGCACATCCATGTTGCGCACACTAACATCATCACCCACCGCTGGACCCGGCTGAACGTCGACGGGAAACCGCACCCGCACTCGTTCATCCGCGACAGTGAAGAAACCCGCAACGTCCAAGTGGATGTCACCGAGGGCGCGGGCATTGATATCAAATCGACCATTAACAAGCTCAGTGTCCTGAAGAGCACGGGCTCGCAGTTCTGGGGCTTCGTGCGCGACGAGTATACCACCCTCCCCGAAGTGTGGGACCGGATTCTTAGCACAGACGTCGAGGCGACGTGGGCCTGGAAGCGGTTCCCTACCCTTGACGAGGTCCGCGGGAATGTGCCCAAGTTCGATGATACCTGGGAGGCGGCGAGGAATATCACCCTCAAGACCTTTGCGGAGGATAACAGCGCCAGTGTCCAGGCCACCATGTATAAAATGGGCGAGCAGATCTTGGCGCATCAGCCTTTGGTTGAAACTGTTGACTACTCGCTGCCTAACAAGCATTACTTTGAGCTTGGTAAGTTTATTTCCCTTGTCTAAAGCTTCTATTACTGATCGTGCTACTAGATTTGAGCTGGCACAAGGGTCTCAAGAACAAAGGCAAGGACGCCGAGGTGTTCGTTCCCCAGACGAACCCCAATGGGCTTATTAAATGTACCATTGGCCGGTCAGACGGGCTCTGGAAGTCCAAAGCTAAACTATAGACCAGTAATTTACTCGATACGGAGTTGGGAGCGATTTGTACATAGCGGGCTTCGAATAATATTCACTTCAATTATACAAACAATACCATGGTAGAAATCGCAGACTCTGCGTAGTATCGCGGACCGAATCCCGGCTTTTGAGAAAACACTTGAACATTTGAACTCCCACCCATGCGCTAGAGAGAAATATCATACATAAAGTGATACATAGAATACAGTATATGCCGCTGGTATCTAGTAGCCGAGCAATCAAACTAAATCAGTCACAACTAAAATCCACTTCCTCAAGCCGAGCTCTTGGCCTCCTGGAAAGTCTGCTTCACTTCCGGTAACTGTCCGATAGTCGACTCATGCCCGATCCGGACAATATTCTCCTTATACGGATGCTCGAGACCCTCGAATGCTGCCACTTTGTTAGACACCTATCCCCATAAACAATAGAAAATCTTAGAATGAGGGTACTAACTCTTCAGCCTCGCCAACCGCTTATCCCTCAGCCGGTTCTTTGGCAACATCCCCCTAACAGCCCGTCTCAGGACCTCACCTCCACCCCATTTCTCAAACATCATGTCCATCGTCATGCTGCGCAGACTACCGGGGCGAGTATTGTGCGTGTAGTACTTCTTCTGGAAACGCTTCTTGCCGGTCGTTCGGAGGTCGTGGCAGCCGACGGCGACAACGTAGTCGCCGCAGTCCGTGGACGGGTCGTAGATAGGCTTGTTTTTGCCCATGAGGGTGAGCGCGATCGAGGAGGCGAGGCGGCCGAGACTGCGGCCGTCTGTGCCGACGTCAACATGGTGCCATGTTCGCGAGTAGGCGAGACGGGTCTGTATAGGGTAACATGGTGGTGATTAGCATCGCGGACTTTTTTTCTTTGCGGAGAGTCGGGGGCGGGTAGGTAGGTAGGTAGGTTCAGGCGATTGAAATTGATGAATGGGGGGAAATGTGTGATTATACCTTTCCAATAGTCTGCGACATCTTCAATCAATTGTATGCCTGGTTGTATCCAGGACCAACCTCAACGCCTTGACTTGCACGCAGACAGACTCGGGCCAAACCAAGCAACAAACCAAACCTGAGGTCTTGCCGGATGAACCGAACCCCCGGACCTCCGGGCCTGGTTAACCCACGTGACCAAAAGACGAGCCCTACCACCATGTTCCCCAAAAGGGTTAGCGTCACAGACTAAGCGAAGTCACCCGCACGGATTATTGTGTCCCCATCAATCTCAAGTCGAAAGAAGTGTGCAAGCCGTCGACGACAACTTCATCCCACTAATCCCCCAGCACACTCCCCCTTCGACACCGACAAGGGCCATATAGTCACCATGGCTTCCGTCCCGAGTGTGCAATGCTTCGGCAAGAAGAAGACGGGTAAGTTATTTTCTTGGTCTTAGGAATTTTTACAATGCGCTTGTGGGTGTTTGATGGACTTGAGGCTGATCGCACTGGAATTGTTTAGCCACCGCTGTCGCCCACTGCAAGGTATGAGATATTACTTTTTGTTTGCACCTGGATATCTATCGTCAACGCCTTGGTTATGATTTCTGGCATTTGGTTATTGTGTCCGCGGGATTCGGGTCGGGGTCGACAGTTCGAGATGGTTGTCACGGTGGATGTGTGGGATCGGGCTAGAGAATGAAGGATGGCCCATCGAGGAAGAGAATGAATGAAGAAAAGATACTGGGGCCGATTGCTGTTGCTTCACGACACTACATTGCACGCCAGACAGAACCTGCACCCGACCCGATCCCGATTTTGATTTTCGATACACCACAAACTCGAGGAAGGGACATGAAGCTAACAATCGAACAGCAAGGCAAGGGTCTTATCAAGGTCAACGGCCAGCCCCTCTCTCTGGTCCAGCCTGAGATCCTCCGCTTCAAGGTACGGCAACCCTCCGCTCCATGTACTAGAAAACATCAAGGCGAAAAAAACCCACTAACACCCTCCTCTCCTCATAGGCCTACGAGCCCGTCCTCATCGTCGGCGCTGACAAGTTCGCTGGTGTCGACATCCGTGTCCGTGTCACCGGTGGTGGTCACACCTCCCAGGTTTACGCCATCCGCCAGGCCATCGCCAAGTCCCTCGTCGCCTACTACCAGAAGTACGTTGACGAGCACTCCAAGAACCAGCTGAAGCAGGCTTTCGCTCAGTACGACCGCACACTCCTCGTTGCCGACAACCGCCGCGCGGAGCCCAAGAAGTTCGGTGGACGTGGTGCTCGCGCCAGATACCAGAAATCCTACCGTTAAGCGAAGCGTTTTTTGTCCGTGGAACTGGACTGGGACGGGGCGCTTGGTTTCTGTTATCTATCTATCTACCTATCCTATCCTACCTATCTTCTCTTTTTTTCTCGGAATAAAAAAAAGAACTTCTTGAACGAAACGAATTTGCGTTTGCTTTGCTTTGCTATAGCTATGCATGTGCAGCATTGATGATAAAATTAGGAGAGAGGAGCTGGAAGGGGGTGATGAAAGAAACTGGTGTCTGTCTTTGCTTTGTGCGGTGGTATACTGGGACCCTGGGTACTGCAGGGGATGAACTGGATGGATTGATGTCGCGCCCCGCTGGACAATTAGAGGGATCATGTACAACCTCTGGTTGTTGTAGTGGGGGTGAAAATGTAACGGTGCGATCCTGACTGTCTCGACTGGATTTAGTATAGGCCAGGAATATGAAATGTCACCCAATTTCCCTTATTCTTCAATGTTGCGTCTTAAGTATTTGAGTTCTGTCTATAAGCTTGTTTGCTGAGGGATTTATATGAACATTAGAATGGCCTTTGGCTTACAGCTTCCCGACCCTACTCAACGCCTACTCCGCTGCGGCTAGACCTACGTACACTAACATGCTAAATAGGATATTAGTATACATGGCGCAAGTCAAATCCTTTAATCGAAGTGCCAGCCGTCGATTCCCAAGAGTACGATATCTGCTAACAATCTCGCCTAATTCCTGTCAAGATGTAAATGCTGAAATAGAGGCCGATTACAAAGAGATAAGCTTGTTGGTCGCTGAAAGGAAAATGAAGAAATCATGCAAAAAGCGAAGAGACATTGTGACCTTGCCGAAAGTTAAGCCGTTACGCTGTTGTCTTCCAAACAGACACCACCATTGAGATTAGCGCCTAGGGCGCCGTGATCTTCATTTTCCTCATCCTCAGACCCATCCATGGAGAGAAGATGGAATCTATTTGGCAACGGGATGGGCTTCTTCGGAGCTGCTACCTTCTTCGGGCCAGTGGGGATGCTTGGGAGTGGCTCGGCGCATTCATCGGGATAGAAGGCGATCTTCATTCCTTTGTAAGTGAAGCGAGACATCATGCAGGAGCGGGCAAAGAGGGCGTTGTGAACGGAATTCGTTGAGATATATGCGTTTCCATGTTTGAATTTCACCGAAATCACAATCAAGTTATGGATATGTTCCATATCCTTTCGAATGATGTCTTCGGTGATATTCGGGTTGACATTGTAGATAACCAAATTTCGAGACGCTCCATTGCCGATTTTGGTTCGAACAAAGGGTGGAAGATAAAATTGACGGTCATTCCATAGAATCTCGACCTATGAGGGTTAGGTATGTGTAAAGTAAGTCAAGTAAGAACGCTACTGGAGTGTTGTGCTTACACGTTTTTCAGCCACATACAAACCGTATGCCCTTGAATGGTCCAAAAAGTCTTGAGCGGCAGTTTCCTCAACGAACGAAATGCTTGCTGTGTGATCTCGGTTCCAGAGGTAGATATGCAAAATGGCGCCACCTTTCACAGCGTCCACGATATGTCGGTGGGTTACCTTGTCAGGGAGACCACGGACCATCACGGTGCGTTGTTCAGATTGCGATGAGGATAACGTGCTTCTTGAAGACTCCCCGTAATCGTCTCTATCATCGCTGCGAGAGTCTGTCAGGGCACCTTCGTCATCATCGTCGAGTTCCGCAGCGAAATCTTGATGTTTCTCGTGCGAAAGAGCAATGTAGGGCTTGGAATACCCATTTGCTGCACCATGCTTTTTGGCTGATCCCGGCCTTCCGTTCTCATTGGCCGCAGGAGCATTATGTTCGGAATGTGGTGCACCGTAGAGTATCAACTAGGGAGCTTAGCATTGGAGGTTATCTGGGTAGAGAAGCATGCCCCTACATCAAAAGTTTCTTCGGACAGTCCTCCACTCATGAGCGAGTCCTTCAACTTCGCTGTTATATTCCGTTAATGTTTGACCAATGTTGAGGATGATTGATTGCGTTAATACGACAACATACTGAAGTGGCGAGAGGTTTCAAGCTATTATCCCCCAGTCGATCACAATCAGCGCAAGGCTATCTATGCAAGTCTTCACAGCTTACCAGTTGTTGATATTCTGCATTGGGAATAGTTACGAAATCCCGATTTGGAGGCATGCTCTAGTGAAACTGGTAAGGAATTGCAAGGCTAAAACTGCGGGATAGGTGAATAGTACTCACAGCGTTCGATCTGCTGGGATGTAACAAAAATTAGTCGTGGTCGTCTTGATAAGAGAAGATCACATTAAGCGGAGGGTCAAGGACGAGGCCGATATATAGAGCTTCGAAAAAAACAAAAAAAAAAAAAAAAAGCAGCCATAAAAAGAGGTAACGTCGCATCGGCAACAAAGGTTCCATCAGTGAAATAATTACTCACTTTTGGGACAAGAGCCCTGGAGAGGAATTTTTGAGTCCGACAGATGATGCCATTGTAGTTGGTTATCTGGAGCTTCGTCAGTGAAAGCTTCAAGGCGAACCAAAGAGAGAGGACAACAAAGGGGAACAAACACAAAGTGAGTGAAGAGTGCGGATCTATATCCACCTTATTGCTCGCCCGTCAGATTATCAAACTCGAGGGGAAGGATGAAAGATCAAGTGAGGAGAAGTTGAGAAGGAAGCAATAAGAAAAAAGATATCAACGACGAACACGTTGTGCCGCTGCAACTGCGATCGACGTCTTCACACAGTTTTGCTTTTTCTGCTCGTTGGTCTTTTTCCTGCTCGTTTGTTGTTGTTCGCTGTTCGTCCTTCTTGCCTTCTCGGGCCTGCTGCTGCTTTTGCTTCTCGGACTCTCCAGCTGAGGTTCATCCTCTCGCAAGGGATGCACTGGTCACTGACGATCTACGGTCTGATCAGACCCCACAAAATCAACCCTGGAGAACGAAAGATATCATGACTTGCAGCTTGCAAGATTCTTGGAGATATGCGAGTGAGAGCTTCTCCTGCTTCTCGTCAGTCCCATCCCCCATCCCTCCACCGCTCCAATAAGGCGCCCAGAACCTATCGCAATCCATCGATGAGGAAATGAGGAATGGGACTGCTGTCTCTGATTCGACCGTCGCGGCTGGATAATGGTGTGACCAGCAAGGGCGAATCACTACATAATCGCCGTTGTGGCGTCAGACAAGTCAGAACTCAGAACGCTGGCTCCGGAAGACATCACACGATTCGATTCTGACTTGCAATAGTGATTCGATCGTGGATCGCAGCAATAAAACGACTAACAGGAGTAAGCTGTCGAGTGACTACGGGTGAGCACCGACCTTGAGAGGATCGACGAATGACGGTGTGTTTTATTCTTATCTACCCGAGCGTCCATGCGATAGAGGTATATGAACCGCGTTAACCTTCTAGATAGCTTGTGACTGTTCTGCTAGTCTATGTTTTTTGCATCACCGACGGCCACTTAACTCCACATCAGGGAGAGGCTCTATAAGGGATCGACTGCCAGAATGCCAACAATCGGAAGCAAGAGCTTTTTTGACCGCACCTCAATAATCTGGGTGACACCCATCCATCACGATGAGCACGTCATTCCCCGCATGATTGCCGTACTTTGGAAAGCGGCTCTACCGCCACCAGGAAGGCTGGACATTGGGGGGGGAGAGCAAGCTAACTTCAAGTTGCTTGCAAAAAAATTAGTGTCTTAACGAGTGCACTGCACTGGGGTCGACGGGCCACCGGTGCCGGCTTAGGGTTATGTTTATAGACACAGAATCCGCCTGTTTCATCCAGAATTCAGATCAAAATTAGTGTCCCTATGGATTTGGTCCCTGCTCTCGTCCCTCTATCTCGCCTTGTGTTTCGGTCGGCACGCCCGCTGGTTCTGGTCGTGGTTGAGTGGGTGCATTGCCATCTAGTCTTGTTTGTCGTCGTGCCCTAACCGCCTGAACAACGTTGGCAGCCATCTGTGTCACGAATATGGCTAGAAATAGACCAAGCACCAAAGTTTGGGATATATATGATTCAGTGCCATCGGTTGTCACTAGTCCTGGGTCTCCAAGATGGGAGATCGTCCCACCCGGCCCAAAGGATATTGAGACGGACATTGGGAAGGGTGTGATAGACGTGACGACGCCTCCTGGCCCTGAGATAGTTGCTCCAGGGCCAATAAACCAAGAGATGACCGTGAAGACGAAGAGAGGAATGGCTAGCCATAAGATAGCACCCCTTGGTGGCCTGCCACGAGTGAACCTAAGCGATGGAATGTGTGAGTATAGGCCATGTCATACCAGTTACTTGCTTCCCTTGGAGTGACTATGGGCTACATACCAATTGCGAGACTCCAGTCTCTTGACCCATCGGGCAGTAATCTTTAACCTTTGTCTGACTGCTGTTGTTGCTAACAAGGTGTATTTTTCCTCATCCCAGTTGGGTAAGATGGTGGCGAACCACCAAGGGAACAGGGCAGGATCGGTTGGTAATGCCCCGTAAGCTAGCAGAACACGAGGGTGCAGCCATGGTGCTCCTTGCCTGCGTTCCCTGAGCACGAAATCCAGAGCCAACTGGAATAACTGCTGTGTGGACATGGTATCTACGGATCTGTCGGCATTGGGGTTCGCCGCTTCAATGGCAGCTGTCGTCTCTCTCGACTCCTGCGCCTCCTCTTCGGAAACCGAAACATCGTCAACTCGCTGAACCTTACCTATATGGTAGCCATCCACTAATTCCCAACTGATAACTTTGAAACGGGACGTCCCGGTGGCAATAAGCAGGCTCCTTCCGTCTGGAAGCAACTCATGGCGGTTTATTGTCAAGATGGTTCCGTATTGCATAAATGGTGCCCTCCCTAATCCCTGCTGAAGTCGGCCTCGCCGGTTAGGCATGACCATGCCAAATCTTCGGCTTCTGCTTTCCATGATCCTTTGGATCATAAGGCGGTACCGGGGCTCAAATATATGGAGGCCAATCGGCATAGTTGGAAATGCGAGAGAAACCACAGCTAGCGGAATAGTACCTTCACCACTTACGTCCATGTCCGGTGGCAAGTCTGCGCGTCGTGCAGCCACCTCCTCGGGCAGGAGGGTCTGGATGATGTCTGACAACCTTTTGTTGATTCGCTCTGACCGGACCGATGAGGACATGTTTAACTTACGTCGACAAACCGGGCAGAGATTACTATGGCTTAGAGCCATAGCAACACAGCTTCCACAGAAAGTATGACCACAAGGCGTCGTCAATGGGTCAAGTATTAGCGAGTAACAGACGTGACAATCTAGCTCATTGCGCACGGCGGCTCGAAGCTTCTCAAGAGAGTGACTATACCTCTCATAGTATGAAGACACAAAAGGTTCATAGCGGATCTCTGATGCATCATAACCGAGCCTACCCTTCCTGGCCAAGTCAAAGACACCACTCAGGGGATCAGAGCCAATCCCAGCACGTTCCACATTCGGTTCCGCCTTGTCTGAAAGTGTTTTCTTCCATATAAGTGTTTGCCCAGCATCTTCCTCCGCCGCCGCTCGCCCCGGGCTTGAACTCTGCCCCAGAACTTCATCAAAGACCCCAACCAGCGTTGTCAACAAGACATCGGCCCCGCAGTCCCCAAGACAATGATCCGCCCCGCATATGCCCCTCCCCCAGTAACACTTAAAGCCCTGCTTCCGTTCCTCATTCGCGGGATACGAGACCCCCGTCCGCGGTCGAATTGGGGGCAAACACTCCCGACACAGCGTATCCCCGCACGGAAGTCGCAGCGGGGTTCGGAAGGGAAGTGAACAGCGAGAGCACTGAATCAGCCGGACAATCGCATGCGGGGGAACATCGGGTCCATTGACGGTACGAGTTGGCGTTGTCAGAGGCTCCGGGGACGCTGAGGAGCCGGATAGTGACGGCGTTGTGCAGCGGGATTCGGAGGAGCGAGCAGCAGCACTGTCTCCGTGCGGCGGAGAGTGTGGAGAAGCATCTTCCTCCATAGAGGGCAGGTAGTAGGTGGGATTACATATATAAAATGAATCAAACTAGAAAATGATACATATATGTATCTATACAGACTTGATTTTCTAGAATCGTTGCGCCTTGCCCTATTTGAATGAGGCCGCTTTGATGAGGGCGGGTTGCTTACTGAGTATTTATCATCACCAGCAGCGAGTGTTCAGTGAGCGCCTCGGTCCTCAGGGCGGGATCAGTGATTAGTCATGTGTCTCCCACCCATAAATTAATTAATTAACTTGGCCACCTCGGTATTGTATACCATCAGCCTGACGTTGACCAACCGGCCAATTTCTACAGCACATCCTGGTGACTAAAAAGGATACTTTGCAGTCAATGAATTTATGAAGTTATGAAAAAGCTGGCTCTTCGGTGAGCGTGGCGACAGGTATGCCAGAGGAACCCCTGGTGACCGGCTGTGTAAATTGGGTTATAACATCCAAATTTCTATTATATCTCAAGCAGAATCGTAAGTTCAGACGATTTGATAATGGAAAGATCTTGGAAGTGGGAATTCAATCCGCATAAGTTCTCTGCCAAGCAGCCGCGAACGATCCCACTGAATCCCAGAATCTCAAGTGCCTATGGCATCAAGACAGTCGTATTCCTAGTGTGATTAATTTAGCATAGACAATATGCTCTTTGGTAAATCCGATCACGGTAATATAGCTTCAGTGAGTGCAAGGACGCTGTCTTTGCCATTTGGGCTCCGGTTTTGATGGCCGGGCATGTGGTGTAAATAAGCATAAAACCCAACAATGGATAAATATGATTAAACTTTCGGAATTAAACTCAAGTATGTGATACTCAACCTTGTTATTCGTACCAAGGCATATAGCGGGCTGCACCAGACGTATATATATATTTGTTTCCAAGTTCGCTACTTTTTTAGCCTTTATAAAGGACACGAAGGAGGAACGCTTTCCATGCTCATTTTCGAATATGCTTCTTGACATTCATTCTCATTCACATATCGCATGTAG